CCGTTGAAAGCGGGCGTCCGGAACCGGCAAGGTTGATAGGGGGGTGAGCGTGTGACGGTGTATCTTCACACGTTGGCAGGGAATGTAACATCTAGTCCAGGCCTTGATGTCGGTGTTCATGTGAGGCCAAACGTAACGGTCTGTGATCAGCTGTGTTGTGGCCTTGACCCCCGGATGAGACGGAGTGTAGAGAATCAAAGACAGTGCGTCGAAATGCGGCTGGAACGAAAGGTCGCGGGGTACCTGTGCTCGTATCGCAAACGAGAGATGCAGAGGAGGACAAGTGGGGGACCGTGGTGAGTTGCAGAGAGGAAGAGGAAGAAGACTGGAGTGCTCGCAGCTCTGGGTCAGCGGCTTGTGCTCTAGCCATCGCCTCAAAGTCAACAGATGGTGCTTGTATGGCGTTGACGGTTGCTCGAGAGAGGGCGTCTGCGACTGCATTGGCCTTCCCGCTGATGTGCCTGATGTCTGTGGTGAATTGGGCGATGAAGTCCAGATGTCGGGTCTGCCTCGGGGTGTACTGGTTTGAGTGAAAAGCAAGGGCATATGACAAGGGCTTGTGATCACTCAGAACAAAGAACTCGCGTCCTTTGACGAAGTATTGGAAGTGTCTTATGGCGAGATAGACGGCCAGAAGCTCGCGATCAAACGTGCTGTACCGTGTTTCTGGGGGGTGCTGCTTCCTAGAGAAGAGAGCGATGGGGCGCCATTCGCCGTCGATGTATTGTTGCAGAACTGCCCCAACGGCATACTCTGATGCATCCGTCATGATGCACGTAGGAGCGTGTGGCTTGGGGTGTACTAGGAGAGTAGCGTCAGCCAGTGCCTGTTTGGCCGCATGAAAGGCAGTGGTGGCTTCTTCGTCCCATGCCAGCTGATGTGAGCGGTGCTTTGGAGCCTATTCAGCGGTTGTAAGATCCTAGCACTGTTGGGAATGAAGCGATGGTAGAAGTTTACCATACCGAGGAATTCACACAGCCCCCGGAGTGTTGACGGTTGTGGAAAATTCCGAACAGCGCTGACCTTGTCATCCAATGGCCTGATTCCATGAGCGGTGACACGGTATCCGAGGAAATCAAGTTCGGAAACACCGAAGACGCACGTGGCTGGATTAAGGACCATGCTGTGGTCGCTGAGACGTTGTAAAACCTGTTCCAGGTGGGCGTGGTGTTCCTCGGTAGAAGCGCTCGCCATAAGCAGGTCGTCCAGGTAGGCGTAGGCGAAGGGGAGGCCGCGCAGCATCTGGCCGATAAAACTCTGGAACGTCTGGGCCGCATTGCGAAGACCGAACGGCATGCGCAGAAACTCAAAGAGGCCAAATGGCGTGGTAACGGCAGTCTTCGGAACGTCGGAAGGCTCGACAGGAATTTGATGGTATGCTCGTACCAGATCGATCTTAGAGAACACCCAAGCACCATGGAGCGACACAGCGAAATCCTGAATATGTGGGATAGGGTAGCGGTCAGGGACAGTAATCCGGTTGAGTGCCCCACACTGACGCCAGTCGCCAGTTGTCTTCTTAGGCACCATAATGGAGTGGGGATGCCCAGTTACTCGACGAGGGTCTAATGATACCCAGCTCGAGCATGTGGTGAAATTCCTGACAGGCAATCTTGAGCCTCTCCAGTGCGAGTCGACGTGTCCGTCCTGTGACTGGGGGTCCTGTGGTGGTTATATGGTGGGTGACGGTATGTTTGATGGATTTGGCCATGTTGCTGGGCTGTGTTACCACAGGAAACTCGGTCAAGATGGCTTCACACGTGTCAGCTGGCTTCCGCGGCAGCAGTGATGGACTGAGGGACATTTTCTGCGATATGATTCCCTGTACAGCTAAGCTGGTAGTGCTGTCAGACAGCTTGCTGTTCTTGAGATCCACCAGTAATCCGAAATGCCGCAGGAAGTCTGCTCCCAGGATAGGAGTCGATGTTTCCGCCAGGATGAAAACCCATCTGAAGGTGCGTCGCAGCCCGAGATTGAGGGTGAGGGAGCGTGTGCCAAAGGTAGGGATTGGTGTGTTGTTGACGGCCTGGAGCGTAAGGTCCGAACGAGGGTGCAGACGTTCCTTGGGCGACGGGGGGAGGACGCTCACTTGAGCCCCCGTGTCGACGAGGAACTAGGTCGGTGTAATGGTCTGTAACGAAGAATAGGCGACTAGGTGTGGGGCCAGTAGCGTTCGTCACCGCTATCGACTGGCCATGTCGTTTCCCGACCTGGCACAAGGTGGTGTGCAGTTGCGGGCGCGATCACCAAAGCGGCGATGGTACCAACAGAGAGTAATTGACGGGGGGCGAGGTGCAGGTGGAGATCGGAAACAAAGTTGCTGACGTCTTGGCGAGGGTGAACGCGGTCATGGTGAGTGACGTCGTGCTGCGAGGATAGAGACGAGTTCTTTCAGTTCCTTAATCTCTGTGCGGAGAGATTCCACTTCTGGAGTAGGCGGGTTTATGGCTGACACGTGGGGCGGATCGGCCAGCTCAGCTATTTCCTCTAGGTTCTTCCCGGCGATGGACGGGGCGAGTACCAGGCGGACGTTGGCAGATAGTCGCTGAAGGAAAAGTTCGCGCAGGAGTGGACCTTCTGCTGCTATCGAGCTCTCTCTCCTAGTAGCTGTCGCATCCACCGGAGTAGTTGCGTGGGCTTTTTGTCGCCGAGCTCTAGAGAGTGAACGAGTCGGTGCAAGCGTCGCTGCTCAGGGAGACAGGTCCGCTGGATTGAGTGTGTCGTACGGGTTGTCGGGGACGTGGAGAATAAGATTGCGTACCTCGGGCCGAACTGAGCCTCTACTTGCGCAAACCAAATGTCTGGATCGGCGGGCCAAAAGGGGGGCAGCTTCACTTGTACCACAGCCGTGATGGCTCCCGCTGCACTCGCCGCCGCGTCAAGGTGCGGTGTCACAGGTCCTTTCTCGCGGGCCATAGGTCACGTCGTGGTCACCAATATAGAGACTCATCTCAAATTCAATGCCGTACAATCATAGATACACGCACACACTGCTTCTATCTGAATTGCACACGCTTATATCCTAATGAGTCAGTACGTCTCGAATATTCTAGAATGTTCTATCACATGGCCAAGGTCGAGGGTTCTATTCTAGAATGTTCTATCACGTGGCAAAGGTCGAGGGTTCGCCACACTACCATTAGAAAGTTTGAGAATTATTGAAGAAGTAATTTTAAAGCAATGTGCCTTTTTGTTCACAAACATGCACTGTTGTGATTTTAATGTGAATACATTATGTACACAAAGTTTCGTTTACATACCTCTTACCATTTGCATGTTACACTGACACATGTGATCCCATTATAGTGTATTGCCTGGGGCTATTTGTTGTCGTTTAAAACAAATAAATATGACCAGTCTCTTCGGGTGACGGATATCAACATTCTTACTGTATGTTGTTGCGTTTTTTGAGTTATGGGTGTTGAATCTGAAGAAGAGAAGAAGAAGAAGATGATGAACAAAACTCCCTATCATAGCCTCATACATCTATGATGCTAGGTATCGTGTCCATCCCTATATTATACTAAATACTACCGTACTTATTGTTACTGAGTGGTTGGGGTCCGAATTACGTGCATAATAATGAGCAGTATACATAAGGAACGTTTTAGGCTACCTTGCATAGTTGTGACTTAGAGGGGAAGGCAATGGACTGATACACCTGAGGTTAATCCTACCCCCACTGTTTTTATATTTGCATCACACTTATGTTGTGTGTTAGTAAACCAGTAGTATCAAAAGATGAGCCTTGATATGGTTTTTGGCAGACTTCACTTGGTGATGAATGTCGGGTGCCTTAGTTAGATGAATTCCATGTCAGGAAAAGATCCAACAAATTTAAGACCACAGGTTATATAGAGAGATTGTCAAGGCTTTGTCTGAGATTGAATTTAACCCTCCTGGTGTTCGCATTTTCTCTCCTGCTCTGAACAAATATAAAGATAATAAATTTTTGTTGCCTAACACTCCTACAAACTCTCAAGTAAATATACTATTTTTGATTTTACCCATCTTTTGGTTTCTGTTCAATAATTCATTGCTGAAGGGACTGAAAAGGAGGGTCTTAGATTATGAGATCTATGTATGATACACGTATTGTTATAAGGCTGGGGGATGATTTTTAATATCAAGAAAATTATGTGGGGTACACTGTAATTGTGATGTTATCTTGTGCTTGTTTGTATCTCTTCAGAGGGGTCTACCTCAACAGAGTTTGTCATCCCAGGGATATGCTGCAAGGGCTCTCTTTCACTACAATGTAATTTTATACAATTTGTACGTGTTTTGTGGGATTTTATTGCATGCTCTTGGCATTTCTTGCTGTGCGTGTAAATAGCTTATATTTGTAGGCAACAACAGCAGAGGAACTGAGTGTTCATAAAGGAGAGTCTGTTGAAGTTCTAGATGACTGTCGTAAGTGGTGGAGAGTCAGGAACCAGAAGGGTATGATTGGCTTTGTTCCTGGAAACATCATGGAGGCTAAAAAAGGAAGTGAGTGTCAGGAAATTAGTTAATAACTAACAGATCACTAAGTGTGGTACGTAGTTATCAGTAATCATTGGCTAAGTTTAAAATGGGTTATGGGAATGGCTGGTTAAACAACTGACGTGAAATGTGGGGGGGGGGGGGCTAAAGCAACAGGGATATGGTAGCACAGAACTAAATTACGCATTTTTGTTTTATACACACCAAGGATAAAGTGATTGTGTACTCTGTTTTTCCAGTCCTATATTATCCTACCTTATTTTTGCACTAGTTTTTTTAACAACACTGAATTTATGGTCACTGTGATAAGAATGGGCATAAAACACATTTTTTAAAAGAAGTTGACCATCGATGACAAATATTTTCTCATTTTGTCCAACTTGCTTACCCACAATATATTGTAACTGCCTCACAATGGAAAGCATTCCTTTTCTGCAATAAGCTCTTTTCTTAAACCTTTTATGCAGGTTGCACTGCATGTTGTTGAAGACAGATTAGCAGGATATGCACAATTTGAATTCACAACCCATGAGCAGTTAACAAGTTGTAACTCTTGAGAAATTTGCGGATGTTGCAAGCCTGCCAGTCACCAGAATAGTCACAACACTAGGACAACGCTCCATACAGGGGCGGATCCAGGGAGGGGGTTGCAACCCACTGTTTCGTAAAGCAAGTACGCCAAAAAGAAAGTTCACGTGCTGTTACTCTGTAACATCCGAAACAGAGAAGCATCCGAGTAGCTACGTATGTCGTATAATGCGTACATTAAATACACTAACCGCGCCCCCTCTCTGAGGCCCTATATACCTGCACGTGCACAAGTATTTTAACGGTACAAGGACGTGTCCCAGAATGTCGAAAAGAAAAGATATCTACAGACTATATATGCCACCTGTTCTGTCAAGCTCATCCAAGAAGACTCTTCCAGCATTCATTGTTCGCAGATGTTTGTAATGATGCATCATCATAATTTTATGTACAACCCCAAGTTATTATATGCTGGATCCGCCTCTGACTACACACATGCATATGCTTGGCGAGCTGGCAATAATTCACTGTCTACTACTGAAAAATAGCCTAAATATCAGGCCTTGTCCCTCTTCCTCACAATAATTATGTAGATTTGTCTATACCATGGCCAGATTTAATTAGGGAGGAAGGGGTGCTGGTTTTTCTCGGAGTTGATAAAATTCATTTCGTTTTTACATGCACTAAGAATAGGCTGTAAACAAAATATCCTGCCTGTTGAACCAGTTAAAAAACCAGCAACAGTGGACGTTACACACTAAACCAAATGCGGACCTGAAGGTCAGCTTCTCTTAATTCTTCCAAGAGGCCTTTCGTGTAGGGAGGAGTTTGTGTTAGTTGTTTACCCAAAATCCTACATATTTGCAATTATTTGCTGTTACTTTTATATTGTACATAACTCGCTAAAATGAATGGAATACGGTGTAGAGGTTTAAATCTGCAAACACTGTTTAGATCTTCAACCTCAAATGCACTATAGTGTGTGCTAGCTAGTTAACTTGCAATTGCTTCTACTATTATTGCTGTAAACCATTTATTCACAAGTACGTACTTTATGGTTCACACATTATTAACCCTCGGCGCGCATGCACAGCGAGTGTTAGTTATACAGTACTTGGTTCGTAAGTGTGTCTGTCTGTCTGTTACCACATTTTCTGCCACTACGCACAACAAACAGGTTAAAAAGCGACACCAATGGGTTGAGCGCTACACTGGCTTTATTTTTAAAATGGTGATTTTCGTTAAAAGTGCCGCGTTCAGACGTTATGGTGTGAAAACCAAGTGAACAAGCCAATATGCAAATCAGCACAGGCTTACCTCGACCGGGTCCGCTTGCTCTGTGTACCTTGGAGGCACAAGAAGTCACAACGGATGGTGTGTATCGACTCCTGCATGGTATATACTACTGTAACTAGCCCGTGTCCGACTCTCCGCGAGCTACTCTAGCGGGAGACCACGGGTAAACGCATACTAATAGCCCAGCCAATCAATTAGCGGTATGACGCATGCGCAGTTCACCGAGGGTTTGCCATTCATTGCTTTTCATTTTTGCTGTTAACTTTTCTGTTAATAAGTATCTCTATGACGAGTACATTCCGACATGCTTCAATAAGGATAAGGCAGGCGTGTATTTTGTAATCTGAAATCTCTAATTACTGTTCTTCAGGCAGTCTCGAAATGAGAAGCAGAAAGTCACTAGCTTCCCAGTCACCTGCTCCCATTCCTGCACCATCTACAACCTCTAGGCGTCCCTCTGTGTCTCAAACTGGTCATCTTGGACGTAAGGCATCCCAGCAAAGCCCACTCTCTCCACTTCTAGAAGAAACTGACTCTGCTACTGGTCGTAATAAGCACCCGCCACTTCCTCCCCCTCCATCCTTTTCACCGGCCTTACCTCATCAGGTTCTAATTTGTGTTTAGCACTCTGCACATGAATTGTATATCACAGAAAACTTTTGGCGGCCTTAATCCAACGTTTGACTTAAACATCATTTTTTGAATGTTATCATGTCAAAAAATGATGCGGAAACAATACATCGGGGGTCAGCGCACCAGAAGTGTGTTAGCTTCTTGCCACAATGTTGTTCAGTCTTTTTGCTCGTCGTGGGCATAAAGATGGTGATCTGATACCTGGTGGAAGAATGGTGATGAGTGCCAGTGCGTAAGTGTGAAGGAGAAAAAGAAAGGTAGAAAATAAAATCTGTTCTACCAGTTGCGTTCGAACATGCCACTTTGAACTGCATACATGCTATGGGAGAGCTGCGATAGGCAGTAGAAAGCGGGAAAGATACAGCCTATTACGTCAACCTTATCGTCTGAATTGCTCCATAATCATAATCATGTGGTGTGGGCTACCTAATAGGCTGTCATTCCCTATTACGTTTGTTCTGAGGCATCTTGTACCGAATTTATGTGCATTGAGCCAGCTGTTCATAGCATCAGTAATGGATTTTTATATCCCATAGAAATAAGCAGAGTATCATATATATAACCCTTCTATTAATTCTTATCGACTTGTGGAAACTCTGGGCACATTCATCTGTCCATGGCTAGTGTGTTTTACGAGCTGACAGTTCATCGTTTTGGTTGTATTTGAGGCATTATGTCTTTATGGAACACTCTATCTCTTTAACCTACTCAGCAAAGTGTAGTCCCTGGTCCTCTGGCTCCACCCCAACCTCTTGCTACTGGTGGACCACCACCACCACCACCTCCTCCACCTATCATTCCTCAGAAACCTCCTATGTCTCTCAATGACATTATTGCACAGCACAAACTCAAAAGCAAACAGGAAGGTATGTGTAGATGTTTATACCCACTCCCTGTACTTAACCCATCGCCACACGTTCATACGTACGTAGCTGGGTTATTGTGTATACTTATCTAAGAGTAAAAAGGTACTGCGTTTCCCCTTAAAACTGACGCAGTATCTTAAGTGGGCAGATGGACACATGACCAATTACAATGGTAATCCTCCACTGTGCATTTGCGAAGCAAGAGATTTGTGCATGTACATGTGCTTCTACGTACACCATGCCATGTAAGTGCAAAGCTGTTGGGTGCTATACAGATGTCCTCTCTACAACGTTGACAGAAACTCTTTCCGTTTAATTACTGCCTGCTGAACTAACCTTCTCCTTTAGAAGAACAGCTGTTGGTCACTTATAGATGCTTCTTTGACCATTGCAGTAAGCAATGCAACGTACAAAGGGTAAAACCAAATTATGAATATCTAAATACCTTTCTTTTTACTATTTTAGGTAAAACCCACAAAATATCAGTGCTGCAAAAAGGAAAAGATGACAACCAATTTGACATAACAGAAGCTCTAAAAACACGCAAACCTCTGCGAAAAACCACAAAAGCCAAGCTATTGGTTGACACGGGACTTGAGGGTAGTGAGAAAGGTGAAAACTTTCTTCTAAAGAACAGGCTTAAAGGAAGTAAACTGAGCAGCACTGCACGAGGTAAGAAGTAGTTTTTCTCTCAATCCCAGAAAAACTGTATTATCTACAAGTACATAAATATTTCTTGGAATTAAAAAAGTGTAGGGATGCCATTAAAGGCAAGGAGACAAGACATGGCTGACCTAGTGCATTAGTAAAATGGGATGATGGTTACATCTTCAAACTGACATTGCTCGCTTGTGTAAATTTTCCTCCACACAAGCCCTACGTATATTGTTGCCAATCTTAATCGCTACATGAGTTTTTTATTGAATGATGTAAAGTGTGAGGGCTCGCTCTCGAACGCAGTCGTTTATTTTTAGGCTTGCGTAGTTCTGAAGACGTTGGTATCACTCATGGGCCTCCTTGTAGCCTGTAGTGCGAGAATAGCTGCTGACAGACAGACAGAGAGACAGAGAGACTGAAAGACAGACTGACACACAGACCAAAGTATGCACGCTGAGGGTTACTTGACATTGACTTGACATCTGGAATCTAGTAGCGAGGAGCTTTCAATTGACCTTGTAGATTGTCGCGGGATAAGGCACTAAACTCGATGTCCTCTTCGTCCCCATGTACACGCGGTCAGGAATGCAATTAACTCTACGTGTTGCATTACGTAATGCAAATGGTGTCCATAGTCTTGCCCCCTTTATGTTGAAAAGGGGCAGCCTGGCACAATCTGTTCGCGCATGTGGGAGATATTCTAAAATCTTCGTAAAATATCCCGTTTTCACATAGGCTCTTCAGAACGGTTTACCAAGCCTACTGTTGAGCTATAAATGTATAGCGTAAGATGTGCCCCACTAGGTAGCATGCTTACCTCGTCTGAAGCCTGTCACAGAAGGCTTTGTAGATCGGTCTGCCTCAACGTTGTACACAGAACCCTTCTCTAGCGGCCTACAGTCATTTTAGATCTGTTCTCAGAGCTTCTACAAGGCCCAGAAACAGTGCATCGATCATTTTGAAACCGCACTAGTAGGCAGCAAAAGGTGACATGTACGAACGTACCGCGGGGGTGAATACGGACATAAACGTAAAATATTCAAAGATCCAGCATCCCCAATTTTCTGGGGATGGGTAGTTACAGATTGTACCAGGCTCCCTCGCAAAAAACGGACTGGGAACGTGGCTATTGTTTGCTCTGTAGTCCTTACTTCTTTGTGGTGTGTTTCGGTGTCCCTGCTTACCCAACTTCATTTTGCTCTATACAAAAGCTAGGAGACAAGTGGAAATGAAGGGGATATAGGGATGGCTCATCTTTGTTCCATTGACTAATAGGAAAGTACGATCAGACAAATATATAGGGATAGGTCATGTTGATTTGTGTGTCTTGGCTGTGAACCCCTTGTTCTTTCCTTTTGGTGCTTTGAGCCATCCCTACGTATATCCCCCTTCTTTTTCCACTTGCGGTACATACAGGTGTAATGTGCAAACTAACCAGAGACATCTTGTGATATGCACATGTAATTGCCTAGCTCTAGCCACTGGCATGTCATTTTGAACCTTGTTTCTATATCAAAACTGCTTTTCTAGATGGATTGAGGTGTAAATAAACCTCCCCTCAATCGAAACCATTTCCCTATGCTATTATGTGCGCTGTTCCTGGTGTGATACGATTATGTTGCTATGCAGAAGAACCTGACATGGAATATAGGGTATTGCCTTGGAGAGCTGACAGGACAGCCATTAATCTATGGCTAGTGCAGCAGGGATATGAAAACTGCACAGAAAAATTTCCAGGCCAGGTGAAAGAGGGAAGTCAGCTGTATGCAATGGACAGGGAAGCCCTAAGAGAGATGTTAGGCTCGTCAGATGGAGTGAGGCTCTATTCACAGCTTCAGAAAGACAAATCCAAATCAGAGAAAGAAGCAGGAATAGTGAAAGAAACAGAGTTGCAGGTGATTTAACAAAGAAGTAATACATATGTGTGGGGTTTGTTAGCATGTAATGACTAGTGCAGATCTAACCCATAAAAATCTATGCGTTTGTTGTAACTTGTAACTGGAAATATACTGCTATTTAGAAAATGATGCGGCTTCGCAAGGACCATTTAGGAGCTCAAGAGAAAGAAGATGTTCCTTTGAAACTGACAAAACCACAGGTGAGGCAACAATTACATGAAACATGTTAATTTGAATTGCCTACCCAAGGTTATAGAGTAGAACCCCATATATTCTCTGTTCAGGTGGTTCTGGTCACCTCAATGATTTTTGTTGAAAGCATGCTTAACGTTAAGTAAAACAGCTCACTGTGTTCACTCTTATATCAGGTGAGGTGGGTGTTAATCTTGTATGTGCTCTCGCCTAAGCATGTACGGTTACAAACTAGAGTTGACAATAAAGTGGTTTATTAGCACTGGCTTTGTTAGTAAATTCACTACTGATCTTGCGCCTAGTGTTTGCTTCTGTGTATGCACAGGTGAGGCAACAATTACATGAAACATGTTAATTTGAATTGCCTACCCAAGGTTATAGAGTAGAACCCCATATATTCTCTGTTCAGGTGGTTCTGGTCACCTCAATGATTTTTGTTGAAAGCATGCTTAACGTTAAGTAAAACAGCTCACTGTGTTCACTCTTATATCGGGTGAGGTGGGTGTTAATCTTGTATGTGCTCTCGCCTAAGCATGTACGGTTACAAACTAGAGTTGACAATAAAGTGGTTTATTAGCACTGGCTTTGTTAGTAAATTCACTACTGATCTTGCGCCTAGTGTTTGCTTCTGTGTATGCGAAACAAATACGCTGCCTCATCCATGTAGCCAGCGGTGAGAGAACTCTCGTCCATTTGGCAGCATTCGCTCTCTTTCCATTCTTCATGGTTCCAAGGTGCTAAGATGGCTAGGCTATTACAGTCATTGTATGCTCGCCATAATGTTGACAACTAATACGGTGCGCATGCCCGCAGTACTTGGATCGTAAGTGTGTGTTTTTGTCTCTCTTTTCCCATGATTAATTTTCTGCCATGACATGCAACAAATGCAATAATAACAGATTAAGCACTTTATTATACTCACAGAGAGCTAACGAGAGATCACGATAGTGTACCCTAGCCTATGAATTAGTGGTTCTGACCTGCGCATACGCGCATGCTTCCAGTGTGCCAACAGTTTGCACTTTAGTATAGAGAGGGATGCGCTTTAGTGCTTTCAAAAGCACTGTAGTGTAAACACCTGGCCCACTCGAAAAGTAAAACTCATACGCATGTGCGGTACTGCTAAAAACGTTGGCTAGGCTAGAGTGTCACACTAGTAGGTCGCGGAAAGTCTGGGGTGGACTAGTAGAAAGCATGTGGTACTCGATACACACCCCTCTGTTGTGACTTCTGTGGCGATTGTTTTTATCCATATCCCTTGAACACAAGTCGTTTCAGGAATTGCCAGTGTAGTGTTAAATGCTCTTTGCCCTGCTTGCAGCCTGTGGTAGCAAAAACGTGGTAACAGACAGGTACACACATATGAGCCAAGCATAATAACCCTCGCTGTGTATGCACCAAGGGTTAAGAAAATGAGTGAATAACGTAATTCAGCATTCAAGAGGGTGTTTTAAACGTGACATTTAAGTGGCGTATATATTTCTTTTGAGTTTGCATGCTCTATATTTGTGTTAGAGATGTAGTAGGCATGGGGTTATCAATGGCTTTCTGTCTCATTCCTTCCCTTTTTTCATCCCAACATCCCCTTTTATCTCCTTTTCCACTTATATAAACGGTGCTAACGATGAGTGATTATAAGAGCCTTATTAACCCTCGGCGTGCTTGCGCAGCGAGGGTTACGGTAGTCGTTCCGTGTATCTGTGTGTGTTTGTCTATTCTAGCACTACAGGGTACGAGGCGGCTTATGAGCGATACCAACAGCTTTAGTGGCACATGGGCTAGAAGAAGAAAATGGCGATTTTGCTGAAACGACTGCGTTCGAGAGCGACAAACTGCCACAGTTGTGGACAGCGTTGCGTGGCCAAACCCATCAATAAGCAGTGCGCATGCGTCTATTAGACGCGATCAACGCAGTATGCTGGCTCACCTCGACCTGATCCGCTTGCTCTGTGTACCTTGGAGGCACAAGAAGCCACAGCGAAGGGTGTGTATCGACTCCCGCATGCTATCTACTACTGTAGCTTGCCCGTGTCAGACTCTCTGTGAGCTATTAGCGGGAGACCACAAGTAAACACCAATAGCCCAGCCCATCCATTAGTGGTACCGCGCATGCACAGTTCTCCGAGGGTTTGCACTTTAGTGCTTTTCATGTTATATTGCTTCGCCCTTACCAGGAGCATTAAATGAGAAAACAAGCACCCAATGCATTTCACATTGAAAGTGCTAAAGTGCTTTTCCCATATATTATTGATGACAGAAGGTGAATTAGAGAGTCGGTAGACTCTATATAGGGATGACATGGGTGAAATCTCACGCTATCCGCGCTATCCGCGTACAAAACGACTAAAAACTCGGTGAGAATTACTCCCTAGGCCTTCAAAACATACTACGGGCCCATATCTACCTATACATGTCCCCCAAGAGCTCATACGCACCTTCAGTCATCCACGCGAGAATTCGCTCATACACGATTTCACGATTTTCGTGTCATCATATTCTTCATCTTCTTCTTCTTTAAACACGCTATCTCCTTACCTGTACCAGTTCAAGCACTGATTTTTTCACTGAAAGTCTCCAATTTCGCCGCAGGTGTGCACGGACATCAAGCGATCGTTTCTTTCTTGCCGCTAGTCACTACGGTAGATCATGGTCGACCTGAACAACGCCATTTGCTGCTTACTCAGCATCAGTGAGCCGCGCGCATGTGCCAGGCAGGGGTGTTGTCCAATGCGCTAGCGAGCATATTACCAGGCGAGCGAGTTGGCAGACCTGCAGAGGAACTCTCAGCCTCCAGTACCTTCCGTAAGTAAGTGTGCACATTTCCAACTGGCTATCTTGCTGTTGATTTGCACGAAGAGCAACTTGCCAGAGTCTGCGTTGTGTTACGCGAGCGTTGCGGGGCACTCAGTCAAATGGGCCTTCATTGTTTGTAAGCCTGCCAATGAAACCACAACCATGTGCAATAATCTAAGTACATCCTTGTTGAAGACAATACATGAGGTGAATGCGGTATCTAGCCCCTGCTTCAGGCACTAGCAGCCCCATTAGCTACTACTTTCAACAGTTACAAATTGTCTATGGTACAACATACCCATGAACATCAGAGTGAATGTAACAATTAATGCAGTGTTGTTAAAATAGTGGAAACAAGTGGAAAAATCATTTCTTCAAAATGAAAGGGGGATATAGGGATGGCTTGAAGCACCAAAAAGGAAGAAACAAGGGGTCATTACACAGCAAAGTTGCACAAAGCTACATGACACCATCCCTATATCTTTGTTTTATTGTTTATAAGCAAAGTTTAATATCAAACAAAGATATAGGGATGGTGTCATGTAGCTTTGTGCAACTTTGCTGTGTAATGACCCCTTGTTTCTTCCTTTTTGGTGCTTCAAGCCATCCCTATATCCCCCTTTCATTTTGAAGAAATGATTTTTCCACTTGTAGCCTTAAGAAACAAGTTCATACTTCATTACACATAGCTGCACGAGACTTGTATTGATACTGGAAATGCTGAGGCAGAAGCCGCATTAGGGGTGCTCCAATATATGAAGTTTTGCAGGTGTTCTATTGCTTCTCTATCCTTCTAATTCTGGTTCACATAGTTTTACGTGTGGTAATTATTAACCCCAGTGCATAGCTAACTTGTGACATGATATTATGCAGAAGCTTGAGCTGGAAACCGTCCTCGATAGTGCTCCTGGTCATTCCAGAAGGGCTTCCAGTAAAAGTAATACGGTGGCTAAGTACAGGAGCAAACATAGTGGTCATGATGATGACGCAAATCCCAATCCTGAATACAGATGCTCAAAAAGCTTTAAGAAAAGGCAAAAATCTTCTAGTGGGGGCCACAGAGAGCAAAGTTATTATTCGGATGAAGAGTCAAGTTCAAAGAAAAGACTCAAAGAAAGGTCAAAACGTAAAAGATCGAGTAAGCATTCGGATCACATGTCGGATAGCAGTCCCTACAGCACCAGAGGGAGAGGAAGGAGGAGGCAACCAGCCACCAATATTGATGACTTTGATGAGAATGAATGGAGCGACAGCATTAGTGATTCTGAGGACTCCTACTCTAGCGAGTACTCGGAGAGTGACAGTGACAAACATTTTAAGCTGCGATCAAGTGCCTCTGCCTCAAATATACCTAATGCAACTTGGGCCCTTCAAGGAAGTGAAGCTGTGGACGGTGTTGTAAGTGAAGTACGGATCAAAATGCAACAAGACGAGATCAAAACATTGCTTAGTCATCTTAGAGAGCTGCAGAAACAATCCGATGTAAAGGTATTACCACTGGCAAAACAGAGCATTCTCCAGGGAGACCTGAGGAATCTCGAAGAATTACAAAGAAGACAGAAAAAACTTCCAGGAAAAGTCACTGTTCTTACCCAGCTGATTGGCCAACAAATGTTACTCAGTGATCATCTTAGAGAAGCCATTGCTCTTGTGAAGGTACATTGTTTAGCAGAATACAATGTATTCTGGCATGTACTTCAAAGGCTGTAGCATAGCATGAAGAGAAGGTCAATCATGCATGAATTTGCCCCTTTGCTGCCCTCTCCACTTCTAAGAAGAAAATGATGGGTTTTATTTTACTAAAAGTCCTGACGGCCCAATGAAGCAAGTTTCTAGTGAAGAAAGGTTTTATTGCCTTGATTGTGTGATACACATGTGCATGTGAAATGTAGGCTGGCAAAGAAAAGGAGCAAATACTGTTCTTGAGGTACTGTCCATGTTAAGCAATGCACATGTACTTAAGTGGGTCCTATGCATGCTACTTATTCCCATCCTGGCTACTGTCCCTAGGGAAATATCAATACTTTTCAAAGTACTATATAACAGTTACCCTAATTTTATAAGTACGCATGTAAAGGGCACTCACTTTTTTCTTGCATGCAGGAGCAAAGTTTCAGACACCAGCAAGCTTTTGCTCAAAAGCAGACAACTGTTATGCCACAACAAGTCATTGGTTATCAGCATCCACTTGCCCAACACCAGTTGCTACTGGAGGCCGAGCAGCAAGTATGAATTTTTGTAAAACTGGAGCCGGTGCCCATGCGCCGTGAGGGTTACAGCATATATGTGTGGGAGTTTTTTTAGCAGTAGATAAAGGGATTTTCTCTTAGTTGCCAAACTCGAGCATTACTTGTTATACTATTCTGGCACTACTGACCCATGTGATAGGTCATTTGGCCCATTCTGCACTCCATGGAGGCACGAAGTACAGTCAAGCGTTGATGCAGCAAGCCTGGTTTTGAGCAATAAACTGGCTCTGCTGGCGAGCTTGACGGTGTATCATGACACATTCCAGTACATCGAGTAGCAGTTGCCTTTTACCCAGCTGCATAATGTTACACATCACCTGCCTGCGTTTATAGTGCACCGAGAGTTTTCAGTTTAGTGCTTGTTTGTAGCTACATAGGTAGTACGTCAATTTAACTGATTAACCCTTGGCATGCATGCGCAGCGATGGTTACAGTACTTGGTGTATCTGTCTGTCTGTGTGTCGACGGCACTATAGGCTACATGGCGGGCCTATAAGCAGTTTCAGAGTGAGATCCCTATGTTAGAGGGATATGGCATGCAAATTTAATAGTTACATTTAACACACACGTGCTTTCCTTGCACCGAGGTTTTGCACTTTAGTGCTTTTCATTATTATGCAGCAGCATCAACAACAGTTATTACTGGCAGCAGCAGAGCAGCAGAAGCAGCTACAACTAGCTCAGCTGGCCTCCACACAGCAAAGGCTACTAGGATTGCACTCTCCAACCTATGCGATGTATGGGTCTCCATACGCTGGAGTTACTTACTTTTGAAATGTCTGTGATATACTATTATATTGCTTTTGTACATAATTATAATACCAACTGGTATGTGGTTGACTGTATTTTAGAGTTTTATACTCTTTACTCTTGAACTTTCATTGTGAGCTTTTAATAGTATGCTGACATCATTATCATTGTCATGTGGATTCTGCACATGAACACGGAATAAAGGGTGTTTACATTGGATTATGCCGTAAATGTTAACAATGTGGGATATTGTCCTAGCCGTCGAATGTGAAGCGAAATGTGTTTATGGCTGCAGGCGCAGACAAATACATTGTGGGTTAGAAAGTGTTCACATTTTCCTTATCACTAAGTACGGTAGTACTTAGTATGTAGGGATGGGCATTCAGTGTGGGAAATTAAGAAAGTTTGTGGCCAATGTGGCGCCACTTCCACCAAACAACATAAGCATTAATTTAAAAAACTTTTGTCTGAGTTTGAGAGTTGAGTATTACAACACATTACAGTACAATGATGATGATTAATAGTTAGTCAGATTTCACAGTCTTCCTCACTCTCAGTGGTCTCTGATTCAGATTGTTGTCTATAATGTGTAACTCAACGAGATCGAGGACCGGCTTGCCACCTTCGATGACGGCTGGTTCGGGATAAAAGTGGTCCATGTCAGGGCCATTAAGTTTAACCATCATCAACTGTGAGAGAGTTTCTGGTGAGACCCTGTTTCGCCAGTCACTCTTAGTTCGTTTCATTAGTGAAAAACCACATTATAGGGTTGCTGTTTGTACAGGAATCACAAGTACAATTCTAAGCAGGGCTAGAATATTAGTGAGGGCTGGGCTCTACTTATATTCATTAAGGATTCTTTGCCATATAGGCAAGTATTTTATTGTTGGCTCAATCTCTCACTCTTAGCTTCAGCTCAGGCCACTCCTCAATGCAAGATTCAGGTGAGTAGCCTTGTTGCTGTAAAGCATAGGCAAAGTGTGAACATAGCTGCTGAACTTCACTGTAGCCAAATGCAGCTAAGGCAGAGGCTTCTGTTGGCCAGCAAAAAGGTGAGAACACTTTGCTTGCCATTAGCACGGGGCAGGAGTCAAAACTTGCAAAACTATTATTGATAGCTGTGGTCGCCAGGTTGGCGCATACAGGGGAAACGGAAGTCGCAAGGAAGTAATTTTTGGTCGCCATTGCTACCTGGCGACCGTTAATTTCTTACACTGGCATTGTTCCTAGCATCATAGATGTATGGGGCTATGATAGGGAAAGTTTTTTTTCATCTTTGTCTTCTTCAGATTCAACACCCACAACTCAAAAATGAAACAACATGTAGTAATGAAAATTTTGTAACAATGTAAATATCCGTCACCTGAAGTGATTGGTCATACTTAATTGTTTGTAAACAACATTGTTTACTGTAAACAACAACAAATAGGTTAATTCTTAACTCTTAAGCACACATGGAGATTATACCTGGTATGCATGTGTGTTACATCATTTCCATGACGGCAACAGGCATTTTCTCTAGATCTATTGTTAAGTTTTATAGGGCCTTGCCCCTTTTCACAGAGATATACATAGTAGTGTATAAAAATGAGTGGAGACAAGTAAATTAAAATCCTGCGAATTTACAAAAGAGGCATATAGGGATGGTATAAAAAGGAAGGGAGACAAGATAGGGATGGTGTTTGTGGAGCCCCGCTCTGAGAAAACGACCCTTAAACGCCATTACATCTATGTACCATGCCCATCCCTATACTAGTACTTAGTGATATAATAAGTACTGCCCTACTTAGTTTTGTTAACCCTCGGCGCGCATGCGCAGCGAGGGTTACGGTAGTCGTTCTTGTGTGTCTAGTCTGTCTGCGACTATTCTCGGACTACAGCCTACGAGGCGGCTTATGAGCGATACCAACAGCTTTAGCGGTACATGGGCTAGAAAAAGAGAATGGCGATTTTCCTGAAACGACTGCGTTCGAGAGCGACAAACTGGCACGGTCGCGGACAGCGTTGCGTGGCCCAACACCCATCAATAAGCGGTGCGCATGCGTGTATTTAACTAAACCCATGCGCAGCGAGGGCTACTGTTCGTGCTACAGGCAACGAGGCGGCTTATGAGCGATTCATACAGCTTTAGATGGGCTAGAAAAAGAGAATGGCGATTTTCCTGAAACGACTGCGTTCGAGAGCGACAAACTGGCACGGTCGCGGACTGCGCGGTGTGGCCCAACCCATCAATAAGCGGTGAGCATGCGTATATTAGGCGCAGTAAGCTGGCTCACCTCGACCTGATCTGCTTGCTCTGTGTACCTTGGGGGCACAAGAAGCCACAGCGAAGGATGTGTATCGACTCCCGCATGCTATCTACTACCGTAGCTGCCCGTGTCAGACTCTCCGCGAGCTAGCGGGAGGCGCCGCGAAATAGCAGCTCGGCCCAGCCAGCCCAACCCTTAGCGTTACCGCGCATGCGCAGTTTGCCGAGGGTTTTGGGTTATTAATTACGCGCATGCGCCCGCGCGCTACTCCGTGTTTGTGCGCCAGTAGTTTTTTGCCCCAACGGCGTTTGAGCTAGCTACTCGGTACTGTGCCTCGGGAGGCTTAGTTAGTTAGCCTTTAGTGTATACACGGCTGGGTTTTGGCAGCGGTGCGGGCGTAAACGCGGTGTGCGCGTCGACCCCGTCAGCATTTTTAGCTCTGAGTGTGGCAAAAACACAGTGTAACTAGGAGTTAGCACGTCGGTGAGAACAGCAAAACTAGTGCTACTTAAACACAAGGTCACTGTGTACTATTCCGCCATGAAAACGAGAGGAAGCCAAGTGACAAAAGGTTGAAATTTCGACACACTGAGCTATTTTTTTTCCGCTTTTTCACCTTCCTCCCTCGCCACTTGACTGTAGAATAACCCATGATACGTCCCCCGCCCCCCTAGGTGGGAGTGGCAGCCAGAGCTGAGGGGGCTGGGAGCTAGATGGATGATTGCTGGTGCCCTATCCTTTTTGAATGCGCAAGGCTGTTCGACGTGCAAGAGAATGCGCCTGGAGCTGGAGGAGAAACCCCTTCGTATTCTGTAGGTGAGTAAACACCGTTCACGAGCCCCCCTTCTGGGTCCAGTGGAAGGTGGTAAAACTATCTGTATGGCAATCTGCGAGAACAACCGCTATGATCGGACCTGGACGCGCTTTCACAGATCTTTTACTATTGGTACAGCTGGGCATGGTACACCTTTAGAACTTGGTAAGTATGACTATGGGTTATGGGCATATTGCAATGATTTTGGGGCTGTGGGAGCATGTGCACGATGCATGTCCGCATAATGTACGGACTGTGCTTCCAGTAGTAGGAGTGGTAAAGGAACCACCGATAAGCTGCATTTGTTTCATGTGCTGAAAGTTATCGACCTCTGCCATAAAGAGTACGCATAATAGAGCATTGTGTGGGTGTATTATTCCAATAATCTCAGAAAATCAATTCTTCAGCGTGATGCTTTGGATGGCATAGAGATGGAACTAGGTATGCATTCATTCTCAAGCTATTTAATTGTAGCCATTATCCATTGGACTACTTCATCACATGCACGACGTAATGCCTGTCTTGTCTCCTTTATTTTCCCTTTTATTCCAACATTCGATATTTTATTGTCTTATTCGTGCAAGTGGGTGACTCGGCTCATCACCTTCATTGTTTGCTAAGAATTTCACTTTGTGAATATTATTTACTGTGTACCCAGTATATATTTTTTCGTCCCAAGAAAGTAAATATGTAAGCAAGCATAATTTTCTTGGCTTAATTGTGTTCTTGTGCTAGGCATCCACATGTGTGCACAGTGTACTAAATGAATATTCGTTCACTGAATGCAATTTCTGTCCCGAAAAATTGTACAATCCATTACGCCTGAGTCAGTAGAGACTTTTAATTGCTTACTTCCACAGATTCTCAGTCATTCATTGGAATTGAGTTGTGTGCTTGGCGAGAGTGTTCTGGACATAATGTACTTGTACTTGTGTGTAACAATGGTAAGTTTGCCACATACTTCCAATTAATGCCCACCAATGACGCTTCGGTGAATACAGCTCCCCGGACTAAGTCTGCTCAAGACTGGGTCGTGAGTTGCAATAAACGGGCTAGGGCGAATATCATTTTGTGGGGAATGCCTAAAAGCTTGTCAACGCTGGAAATACGGGCGAATCTCGCGGATATAGGATTAGTCGGTTTTTCTAGGGGAAGCGTTGCTTGGGAGGGCGATCACGTCAGGTTAGTGTTACTGCATAAGGATAGTAAGGGCCTTTGTAAGGCGGTTGTGGCGCAAATTTCAGCCTGTCTTCGGAAGATTGGGTGTAGATGCGTGTTAGATGAAACCTGCCCTGTTAAAGAGGCTGTACACGTTGGCGTTCAGTGTGTTAATAGGTTTTCTCAGCTAGCTGATAGTGTGGATGAGTGTGCAGCTGGTGTGCCTGAAGGCAGTGAAGTGAATCTTTCAGTTGTTAGTGAGAGGATGAGTGGCCAAGGTAAAAAGGACAGAAGGCTAAGAGTCGCTACATGGAATTTTTCAGGCCTTTGTAGTGAGCGTAAACAGAGAGAGGTAGGGGAGCTTTTGCAAAGGCTCAAGATTGATGTAGTAGCTGGTCAGGAATCTTGGGAGAGGGAGGGAAAGGCAGTTGCGGTTGATGGCTATAGATGGTTTGGAAAGCCTCGTGAGAATCAGAGTAGTCGTAGAGGGGAAGGAGGGGTTGGGTTCTTGGTTCGGGAGTGCTTGATAGACGAGGTAGAGTTTGTAAGTAAAGTCAGGTATGAGGAGAGCGTGTGGATGAAGGTTCGAGGTGGGAGAGGGAGGGAAGCATTGTATGTGTGCTGCATTTACATGCCTACAGATAGTGCTTGTGCTTCTGTCATTGAGGATAGTTACATCAAGTTGAAGGAGGATGTGCTTGGATTCATGCAGAAGGGGAGGGTTGTTCTTCTTGGTGATTTTAATGCGAGGGTGGGTAGATCTACTGATGTTGATGATGTCATTGGGATGTTTGGGGAGGAGACTTGTAATGCCAGTGGAAATAGGCTGATTTCATTCTTGAATGAGGTGGAGCTGGTGATATGTAATGGTAGGAAGTTAGTGTCAGAGCCTGAGTGGACTAGAGTAAGGCCGAGCCTGCAGCAGAAATCAGTGATAGATTATATAGTTACGGATATGCAGTTGATGAGGGAATCCGGTGATGTACAGGTTAATATAACTGATATTGGTGCCTCGGATCATTTTCTAGTGTGGCTGGAGTTGGGCCGGGTTACGAAGTGTTGTAAAAGGCAGAAGCGGACAATAAGGAAGTGGCGTGTAGACAGATTTTTGGATGAGGGGGTTAGAGCGAAGTATAGGGAGGCCTTGAAAGCGGAGGTTGAATCTTTTTCAGAGAGCATCAGGGAGAAAGTGAGTGAGGGTATTAGTGGAAGTGGGTTAGTCAGTGCAGTTGTAGAGGAGTGGGAGCAAGTTGTAAAAAAGTGGCAAAGGCTGAGGTAGGAGAGAAGGTAGTAGTGTGTGGCAGGGCAGTCAGGTGGTGGGATGACGAGATTAAGCAGAAGATAGAGCAGAGAAAGGAGGCTTACAAGAAAATTCTTGAGGGTCAGGATTATCTATGGGAGGAATATAGTAAACTGCGTAGGGAGGTGAAGAATTTAGTTGTTCAGAAGAAGCTTGAGGTTTGGAACGAGGTAGTGGAAAGAGCAAATTTAGATTTTGAAGGTAATAGGAAAGAATTTTGGGCATTTGTTGGTAGAAGGACAAAGGGTAAGAGGAGGGGGATTACAGCTTTGAGGAATAGTGCTGGGGTGTCAGTGACTAGTACAAAGGGCAAGTTGGAGGTGCAGTTGGGCACTTGTAGTGTTGATACAGCCTTTGATGATAGTTGGAAAGAGGAAGTGGATAAGAAAGTGTGTGAGTTTCCAACAGATTGTGTGGAAAATGTATTGGATAGGGAAATAGATTTGGAGGAGATTGAGAAAGTTGAAGAATAACAAGACTGGTGGTAGTGATGGGCTTGTGGGGGAGCTTCTAAAGCATGGTGGGTCAGGGATGGTAGAGTTACTTAAACAGTTGTTTACAGTAATTTGGCATGAGGAGTTTGTGCCACCACAGTGGAGGGAGGGCCTCATAGTTAACCTGTTTAAGAAGGGAGATAAGGAGGATCCTGGGAATTATAGGGGGCATCACTCTGCTGAGTGTGGTTGGGAAGGTCTTTTGTAAGGTATTGAACAATAGGTTGGTGAAGCATCTGGACGAGGGCAAAGCATTGCATGAGGGCCAGGCTGGTTTTAGGGTTGGAAGGGGTTGTGTTGATAATATTTATACGCTGAATGAACTCGTGCAGGGTAGACTAAAGGAGGGGAAGGAGACATATGCATTCTTTCTAGATGTGCAGAAGGCATACGATAGTGTGTGGCGTAACGGCCTGTGGTTTAAGTTGTGGGAATTTGGGGTAAGAGGGAAGATGTGGAGGGTCATAAAGAAGATGTAGGAGTATTCAACGAGTGCTGTATTGTTGGATGGGGAACGGTCAGAGGCATTTGATGTGGAACAGGGGGTAGCTCAGGGATGTAGCTTATCTCCAATTTTGTTTTCCGTATTTATCAATGGGTTGTTGAGGGAGGTGGAGGAAGCTGAGATTGGAATCGATTTAAGTAGTGGTGGGAGACTTGGAGGACTTTTGTTTGCAGATGACTTCGTTGGTGTTAGTGAGTCTAAGGATCAGTTACAGACGCTTATAAATGTGGTGTATGCCTACTGTCGACAATGGAGGCTAAAGGCTAATGTTAGTAAGAGTGCAGTGATGGTGTTCGCTAGGGAATCAGTGGATGGTGTTGGAAATGGGGGGAGTATGTTTTGCCTAGAGTATCTAAATACACATACTTGGGTGTTGATTTTACTAATACTGGGGGCATGGGATGTCCATATGAAAAATGGGTTAGACAATGGTAGAAGGAAGGTTAATCAGTGTAATTAGTAATAGGGATATTAATTTGAGTGCAACCACTCTGCCTTGTCAAGACCTAATGACGAAAAGAGATCATCAATGACCTTACTCCAACACTTCCTCTGCCTGCCTCTCCGTGGCTTAAAATTCCATTCCTGACTAAAAAGCTTCTTCGGATACCTATTGCCTGGCAATGCCGCTGACTTATACCACCACTTCAACTTATTCTTATCCCTACGCCCTTGTAACGTATCAAGCCCCATATCCCCCCTAACGGCTTCATTACATGTCTTAGACGAACAACCAAGAATACGCTTAGCTCCTCCCAGCATCACAGACTCTAAAGCAGCTGCCTGAGTCTTATAGGCTTCCCACACACCTCACCCCCATACTCTAAAGTTGGCCTAACCACCGCCAGCAACAACAACCTGCGAGCATTATATTCAAAATGGGGATTGCTCCTTGAAGGGCTTTTTGTCTATAGTAGGGGACAGTATTAATGAGAGGGAGATTAGAAAGTTTGAAGAGGGGCTAAATAGCAAAGTAAAGTATAAGACATTTAACAAGGTGGTAGAGTTCAAAAAGTACTTGCATGGGAAAAGTGATGCTGGGTCTAGATTAATGTTTAAGTTGAGGTCAGGCACGCATGGGCTAAATGAGGAACTGGGTAGGCATAGGGGGAGGGAGGGGGTGAAGGAGTGCCTGTTGTGTGATGATGAGTGTGAAAGTGTGAGTCATGTGTTGTGGGAATGTCCAGCATATAGTAGTCTTAGGAGCAATTTCTTAGTTGCCCTGCAGGGGAAGCTTGGGGATGATGGGTTTGAGCATTTCCAGTCGCTTGATAGTTTCAGGAAAGCATCCTTTATATTGGGCAGTGAGCTGTGGGAGGATAAATTTGGTTCTTTGCTTGGCCTTGTTAAAGATTTTATTTCGGATGTTTGGGAGCTAAGAAAGGTTAGGTTATACGGCGATAGTCCCCGCGTACAACAAACCCAGTCTCAGATTGCGTCTGGGGAGCTGCAGGGTGTCGCTGGTGGAAGGGGTGAGTTGAGGTGTCTGGGAGGTGAGACAGACACCTCATGTTTATATGGTGTATGTTCGTTTGTTAACGGTTCCGCCCATTGCTCTGGATGCGTGGTCTGTGGCCCTAGTGCTATGGCAGCCACCTGAGTATTATTATTAGTACAGTGGGATGATGGTTACATCTTCAAACTGACATTGCTTGCTCTTCCTCTGCACAAGCCCTATATTGTCGCCACTTTTCTCACACCAAGAATTTGTTTAGTGTGAGGACAATCGGAAAGGGATTCTCTGTGGAGGGCCACGAACGCAGCATTGTTAGTTGAGCGAACATGGAAGTCTTAGACTGCACACAATGCAATCACAACCAAAAACCGAGTGGCTGTCAGAGAGGGCAACACCTGTGCATCATGTGCTTCATTCTATGAGGGAGCACAATCATGCTTCGCGACAATATACGGCTTGCGTGGAGGAATATTTAAACGAACAAGCAATGTCAGTTTGAAGATGTAACCATCTTCCCACTGTACTAATGCATCACACACACTAAGTCATCCCTGTCTTGTCTCCTTTTTATACCATCCCTATATATTCCACACTTTTTTCAATTGGAAGAATTTTTTAATATTGAGTAAATAGTTCTTGGGAGAAAAACCTTTAACGCTTTGGTACCAATTGCAAATAGCTCGTCACACAGTACCCATATCCCCATCATAAGAAAACTGTCATGAAACTGAAACGTTTTGAAAGTTTCTCATAATAATAAAATCCTGTCACATTCACCCACTCATGCATATGTAAATTTCCCTATATTTACTCGTTTACAAAGGTTTGAATCTCTCTAAATTCATGTGAATATGCTTGATCGTGATACATGCCAATGGCAAAAAACAGATGTTCAGCTACCACGCACATGTTGTTGTAAACTGGGAAGCAAAGGTGTAAGATCATTTCTGGGTTTTGGTTATTCATATTGTTTCTTATTATACAATGTTGTATGCATGTGTCAACTGACTACAAGGCAAAGGCACAACAAACAAGTAAACTACACCAAAGACCGCTTTTCTCCAAGGAAAAAAGAAGAGTAGCCTAAGGTGGGATTCAAACCCACCCACGGCACTCTGCTCTCTAGGCAAACACCCTACCAACTGAGCTACCAGGGAAAATCCGCTGGAAGTTGTTCAAATCTTCAACACAATGTAACACAAAGGCAAACCTCAAACTGCTGCGCTATGGCACCGTATATTCTCACGTTGTATGTAGGAGTAGACTGGGGTAACCAATAAAACCTAACCCTGAACTTAAGTATATGCATGTGTCAACTACAAGGTAGAAAGCGCATGTTTGCAATGTGATTTGCAACTTAATATGCTTAACTTTAGGATATGTCTTACTGCGTGTTCTTCCAACACATGGTAAACCAACCATCAAACAGCTAAAGTGGTATGAGGTGAGCATTATATTTACATGGCCATTATCCCTAATGTTACCACACTAGATTTAGAATTAAAGTACATACCTATAGTCAACGAGATATTGTATACATGTTAGTTTATAATTATGTCCTACCTTCAACCAAGGTAAGATTGAGAGGGGGCATTACTTTACAACAGGAGCTATGCCTTCTTGAGGAGAAGCCAACTCGGGGCTTGCTACATATGTCATAATGCACGAGGACTTTTTCTTTCGGGTCCTGTATCCCTAAAAACACCACCTTATGACCCAATCCTCTCTTTGCAGACCAGACAGCAGCATATACTGGCTATTACACTTGATCCAGGAGGGGAGTGGTTGGCATGTTCATGTCTTGATGGCGGCCTCTACCTAGTCCCTATCATTTCTCTCACACTTGTAAGTCACTTGATTAACCCTCGCCTGCGCGTATGCGTGGCGAGGGTTATTGTATTAGGTGTGTGCGTGTCTGTCTGTCGGTCTGTCTGTCGGTCTGTCTGTCCATCTGTCCACCGTTTTTCTTGGTAACCGCGGCAGATCTGAGTGTGAAACGTAGATATATTATCAGGTAGGAGGTACGCACGGTAAAATAAGATTCTGGAGCGGGGAAGGCCTGGTGAATGGATGGCTGGCAAAGTGAGTGTGCGTTAGCGGACGATCGCCGTATTTAGACGCCTTACCCATGTATGTGGAGGGAAGGTGGGAGGCTAGTAGCCAGGCCAGGGAGTAAATTCGATATCACTAAGCGTGCTGGTCTGCCTGAAATGATGGTACAGTTGGGTAGGAGCGAAGGAGTCGCTGAGGAAAAGACAGTAGCCATTGGCTGCTGAATGTAGGCTCTAAGTGGTGAGGGTTATGGTGTAACAAGTTTTCCAATTGAGGATGCAGCTGAGATTTTGTAGATGGCTGAAGGGAGAATAGTCTCTGATCTTCTCTTCCCTTGAGACAACTGACTGTTCACACTCCATAACAGTGGCGAGGGTTATGCACTTCCAAGTGCTTTTGATTTTTGTGTGAACTGGGTTTTGTATGCATCCTACTTTTTCTCCTGCTGTGTAGGAATGTGCTCCTGTGCATAGTTTTGGAGTGTTAGATGATGTGACCGTTATACAGCCTTCAAAAAAAATTGGTCAGTTTTAATTTTTGTCATACGCCAGTGTGTTCTATGTGTGAGTGTGATTAACCCTAAGCATGCATGGCCCTCAGCACGTATGAATGCATCGAAGGTTACTGTAGTTGCGGTGTGTGTGTACAACTTTCTGTCTTTCTGTCTGTCTGTCAGTCAGTCAGTCAGTCTGTCTGTCTGTCTGTTTTGTCTGTCTGTCTGTGCCTTTTCTAGCAGTAAAATATATTCCTATGCCTAAGGTACAGCCCTCTTTCAAGTGGTTTTTGACTAGTGCAACGTTCATGGTATGAATATGCTAATAAGTATAGGCTAGTTTAGGAAGCCTTGGGACTTGTAGTATGCTCGGAATGTCATGGCCCCAGGGCCTTGGCCACCTAAATCCATGTGGTTTCCTATGACTCGTCCTCACGTAGTTGTCACAAGAAATGAGTAATTTATGCATGCACATGTAGGTCCAGCTGAGAGCTCTGAGAATTTTGAATGTGCTATTTGTTCATTGTGTGAGTGTGTGAGATCCGTTTCCACTTATATTATAATTACTTGTAAATCCTAAATGGAGGGGTTGAGGTCACATACAAGTAATTATATAGATCTCACACACTCACACAATGAACAAATGATATAATAAAATAATCTCAGCACTCTAACCTGGACCTGTACATGTGCATGCATAAATTACTCAAGCAACTACGTATGTAATAGTTAGAGGACTAGTCATAGGAAACTACATGGATTTAGGAGGCCAAGGCCCTGGGGCCATGACATTCCGAACATACTAATAATTCATGGGAAGTCTAACAAGCCTGTCTTTTAGCAACACATGACCGTATAATATGAAAAGCACTAAAGTGCAAACCCTCGGCGGCGAACTGCGCATGTGCTATACCGCTAACTGATGGGCTGGGATATCAGTATGCGTTTCTGCCGCTACTAGCTCACGGAGAGTCGTCGGCCACGGGCTACCTACAGTAGTAGATAGCATGTGGGAGTCGATACATGCCCTTCGTTGTGACTTCTTGTGCCTTCAAGATACACTGAGCGAGAGGACCCGGTCGAGGTCAGCCGCACACTTATACTTTACGCATGTGCACAGCTAATTGATGGGTTGGGCCATGCAACTCGGTCCGCGACCGTGCCAGTTTCTCGCTCTCGAACGCAGTCGTTTCAGCAAAATCGAGACAGACAGACAGACAGACTGACTGACACACACACAGACCAAGTACCGTAACCATCGCTGCGCATGCACGCTGAGGGTTAATAACCTGCTGTAATGGCACAGGCTTACTACCACGACTGATCGGCGCACAGTGGAGGATGTGTATCCAGTCAAGCATTTCTTTAAACACAACCTACTGCTGCTATGATGTAGCTCAGCGCTCCGTTAATGGCATGTGGCCTGGCTCGATAATTATGCGCATGTGTATTGTGCACTTCCATGCTACGTAACAATGGGTGCACACTTATCTTCTGCACCGAGGGTTTTGCACTTTAGTGTATGGTTGGTTCGAATAAAGAACAGTACTTTATTTCTAGTACCATCTTTTTTGTAACTGCAGCCTCTCCAACCAGCATAGTCTGGTGGGATACTATGGATCAGAAGCATATTTGCATAACTGGATCTGAGGTTGATATTGCTGCTGCATACTGCATATTTTTTCCGTCGTAGGGGTTCATTGTGTGATTAGTTCACTCATATGTACTTTTACATTTTTACGTGAATAGTCTGCGTCATTAATGTTATGAGTTAAGAAGTCACACTTCTTGTGTTCGCCTGCCAAATATTGTTCTAGTACGAAACATCTGATCTAATGAGCATGCTACAGGTTGGGGAGATCACTTTCTTTGATTTGAAGACGAAAACTGTGGCTCTGAGTGTGTTAGTGAGTGGATGCATTGATGCAGTGTACCTGGCTTGTCTCACTGACTCAACAACATATCTTTTGGTAAGGCCTTTTTTCAATACAATGTGCCACATGTGTACGTATGCATTTTTGCTTAGTTAGTAGAAATGGTATGAAAAGAAGGGGAGACAAGATATGTGGTATAATATGAAGATTTGTTAAAAAAACAGATTGTAAGCATGCTGATACTCTCTGAGCCAGTCGCACAATCCCTCTATATTTTCACCTTGTATGCCATTTTCAAGCTTTCTATACTGGTGGTTGTTCCACAATAGAATTACACTTTTTGGCCACTGTGTTAGTAGCTAATGCTTGTCACCTGTCTTTTAAAGCTATAGGTCCTACAATAATATTGAAAAAAGAAATACTAGTCTCTTTGGGGTATGGATCTTACATATCTGCAAGTTTTAGAAGTACATGAAACTCCCTATCAATAGCCCCATTTCTAGGTACATGTACGTACCACACCCAATTCCTATGTACTATGTAAGTACTACTGTACTTGGTGAAATGTGGTGGGCACGAGCAAGCTGTCTAACCGACACTGCACAGAACAGTCAATTCCATAGCTACATTAAGAACTTTCTATACCATGTGATTGATATAGAAAGAGCTCTTCTGACTGCTCATTAGATGGGTCTGCGAGGTGGGGAGTGGAAGAGAATGTTACTGGAGGAACACTACCATGAAGCTCCAGATGTCTCCTATGCAGACGTTACTGCCAACGATTTTGAAGTTGTTCCAGATGATGTTGTTATAAAATCATGTCTAGACCAAGATGAACTTGTTGATCCTTTTGATCTAAAGAATTTCTCGGTATGATTTCAGTTTTGTATGTGTAGGTCTATTGGCATATACTATGCGTCAGCTCTGAAAGGAAAAACTTCTTTGTTTCAATGTCTGTCTCTTTGTGTGACTGACACTCAGTTTATTTATGCCTGTGTATCTTAGCAACTACACATACTGAACAGTGTGTGTAGTTGCTCAAAGGTGTATACATAAGATAAGGTTGCATACAATTGGCCAGATGATTAGTGCACAGGTTATTATGAAACTAACGTAATTATTTTAGATATGGGGAAGCAGAACAGGCTGGTATTCTATGTTATACAGACTTAGTCCCTTATTGCCGATACAACCGAACAACTTAGTGTTGTATAACTTGCATAATAGACTATCCTTTGGTCACACTCTTTGGTGTCCTAAACCCATTCTGCATGACAGATTTTCTGCCAGCTGACACACCTCAGAACCCAAGACTGGAGACGGCAGCACCTACTCACTTCACTAAATCTTACGACTGGTAAACTGGAGGTAGGAAGGAATAGCTATCCCTCATTTAGTGTTAAAGTCCTATTTTGTCATTCTCAGGCATACAGTTACAACTTTGATCTTCGTCTTGAGCCTCTCAATGCCTACCAGTTGATATCAGGAGCTACTGATGCCCTTCTTACAGACAGACTGATATATGCTGTCAGCCACATAGACGTTGTTGATCCCTGCTCGGTAATAGTAACACCATGATAGCTTTGTTGCTAAGACAAAGTTGCATGCAAGGGGGTTTTACAGACCATGCAAATAATTTCCCTAACTGGTTACCAATCCTACATTAGTAATCCCTTTGTTGGCAAGTGAAGCGAGCCTACCTAGTCGTCTGGATTGCTCCCACTTAGTATATATATGTTGTATTCAATGTTGCCGCCCGTACTGTAAATTTAAATACATGCATGCACGTAACTAAAATATCACAGTATGTTAGTTTGCCGAAAGTAAAATTTTTTTGCTGGAAGGAGCTTCTTATAGCCAGCCCCCTTCCTCTTTTGGCTTGTGAGTGTGTGCTGTTTAGTTCCAAAAGTTGCATAGTACCTAAACTCTTGAAGTTGCCTTGTGTATCGTGTGCGTTAAGAATCATCTTCTGTAGCATACATGTGCTCATGTATTACACAGGAATAAGTAATGTAAGAGAATTGTGATCTGGATTAAACCTAAGCATATACGTTTTCTCAATGTCCTTGTGAAGAATGCTACTCACCGATAATAACTTCTATTTTCCACCAGTTCACTTTGTCTCTGGTGTCAACTCAAAAAGCACTTGTTACTGAACTAGTAAGTTATTCCTTTACACACTTTATGTTGAAGTTCCTCATAGTGACAAAACTCAACCTTTTTTCACAGCATGACCAAAGTCAAGGGATCATTCAACAATTCACTCTCCCATCATCCCCTGACCTGGTTGGGTTTTACAGTACTGAGGGAGGGGGGATTGGATTACCAACTGATGGTTCTCTGCCAGTTACACACCTTGGAGGATGCATCATCGTCACCAAAACCTCTGTGTACCAGTGCCGGCAGATGTGAGTTTTTCTCCACACTTAGACTTAGAGTCATGCTAATGTGTGTTTCCACCCTCTTTTTCGTATTGTACATAAGTTACTTAGTGCTGAGATGTAGAACGTGTTCTACGTAGTGCAGTAGGGGCTGCTGCTTGCTGGTCATAATTGATAATTTTGCATGAGTCAACACCACTTCACAAACGAAAACTGCACATAGGTGTAACCAGTCATCACATTAGTACATTGGGAAGTGCTAAATTCACCAATCAGATTCCATAAAAATGTGGAATCTGGTTCAGGTGAATGTGGATAAAAACCATTGCCTTTTACCGTTGTATTCTACGAAGTCAGGACCTCCACTTGCAAGATTTCGAATGGCTACTGAACTATTCAGACTCTTAGAGCAGTTAACGTACTGATCACCATTGTTGTTCGACTGTATTGACTTAGAACCTCAGAACATGGATCTTTTAGCTGACACGTCCTCAGGCATCATTAACTGTAGTTTGTTGCAAAGCAACACACTTATCAGTTCAGATTTCTGCTGCATTAGGATATTCTTAGCAACGACAGTCAATGTACGGTGTGTAGCTGTAGCACAGCATTTGATCTCTTCGTTGCTAGCTCTGGAAGTCATCATTAATAATGCTGTGCATCGTCTCGATCGATACATGGTGTATGGGAACTCAGGTTGTGGTCTTGAGACCCATACAGCTGTGCTTCGCGTGTTCCAACCACAGCCGCTGCACCCCCTCATTCCCATAAAAAATGTACAATATCAATAGCTTCGGCTATTTGCATTTCCTTACCTTCATGTGGTTGAGATATGAAACTGCCGCATGTGACATTAAAACTCATTGGGGCCCAAAGAAACTCACTTGGCCGAAAAAGCTGGTGCATGCCACTAATACACATGATTCTCCACCAGATGACATTAAAAGCTGATACTAATGTGGCAAGGTTGGTAATCCCCAGATTTACACGTGATTTGGTTTTTTACATGGCAACTAGATGAAGTTTAAATGTGTAGTCATTTACAAAGGTGGGACGTAATATTTATTGCACATCTACATAGGTGGTGGTAAAGCGTATTTGCTTAGTCGGTTGGTTGTGATATTGGTGGCACAGCACACACTTTTAATACATGAAGGTATTAGACCAAGAGAAAAAAGATGGGGAGCTCTGGAGCTCTGGACAGCTGTTTCGGGCTTGTTGGCCCTCATCAGCAGAGCATACAGTAACTCCTCTCTCTGGCATCACGAATTTATAAAGGATACCAGGAGCGCAGCACTTGTGGTTCTGAACTAATGAGATTCATCCCCACAAGGTTTTACCACTGGTATGTGCTGACCATCCCATACATTCGTGGTTTGGAGCCTAGGTCCCTCCCCACTCCTGCTCGTCAAGTCCAGTACCGAGCCAAAACTCGAACTCGCAATCCTGGCATGCGGATTGAGCCGCGGCAATGAAGCCAGCAAGCACCCATATCCTGCCAGTCATACATATTATGGTGTCGGTTGTGCCTTTGATCAGCTTACGCTAAGTTACAGTAAGTGAGATTAAGTGTTTGGCTTAGAATTCAGGGGGCTATCCACTAGACCTCTGTTTGATTGTGGTAGGGTGAGTAAAACTATGAGCCGTAATCGGATAGGCGCACATGATAAACTTGCCTTGTCAATGTCGTATTTTGCATCTTTCAATTAATTATTGTGACAAGAGGTTTACAGTAGAACCCCTACACAACTGTATCCAGGATTTCGGCTCCATCCTCTTTGGGGCCATAATTTTTTGCAGAATGGAGGAGTTTTCTGTGTGTTTACTTGCTTGATATCCTCCTACCAAAGGTTGATATGGAGACAGTATTTTGTTGTGGCTGGCAGAATGATAGAGCTCATGTCAGTATTCCCTTCTCTTAAGAGGTGTTCAGAGTCTGTCTGAAGATCTATAGAGTGTATACTTGGCAGCAACCCTGGCTCTCAAACCATAAGTACAACCAAGGCCTGATCATCACATCTTTGTCAAGCCTATGATAATCGATTGCCTCAAGATTCTTTTAATGAACCCGACATCTAAATCAGACTTACTCGGATAGTCCGAACCACTCTCCCAGATTGAGTTTTACAAGCCAATAAAAATACATAAAATAGTACGCTCCTACAGGGATGACTAATTAATGCGCCCCCTGGGGCTGCTGGTAGTCCATACAGGTTTGCAAAGCGGTCTTTTTTTGTAGCAGAATAGGTGAACTGTTGTCACAGAGAGGTAAGTTACAGCCCACACATTATATGCTACTAAGGTATGAAGTTGAAACTAAGTCGCCCTCATTTCTTTCCATAAGAAACTCTTGCCTGATATGTTTACTGTATCTTAGAGTGTGCACTTACCTTTATAGTTATTGCCCTGACTCTATATTCTTGGACATGGCCCTGTCATTGAAAGAGCAGGAGAAAGCTGAGGATTTTGGCATAACATTGAAATTGGATATCTGTGGTCTTTACAAAGTTAGTGACAGTGTAAAAGTTGAACACCCATGATTGCGTCCTTAAACACCTCTGTATATTTTTGTAAATTGGTGAGCGAAGCAACCCTACCCAGTCATCTAAATGACTACACTTGACTGCACAAATTAAATAAAACCCTGCGTTCTTCACTCTGCTAATACATAGGTAATGCTCTGCAGTCATCATTTGGTCACATTCACTCACCAATCCGTATTTAACGAAAAGGAAGTGTGGAATATAAGGATGTCATAATAAGCAAGGAGACAAGACAGGGATGACCTAGTGCATGTGATGCAGTAGTACAATAGATGATGGTTACATCTTAAAACCGACATTGCTTGCTCGTGTAAATTTTCCTCCACACAAGCCCTATATTGTCACAAAGTATGAGTGTGCTCCCTCATAGAATGACTCATTTCCTAAGAGCGTAATGCACAGGTGTTGTCCTGTCTGACAGCTACTCAGTTTTTGGTTGTGACTGCATTGTGTGCAGTCTAAGACTTCCATGTTCGTTCATCTAACGATGAGTTTTTACAATGCTGCGTTCTTGGCCCTCCAAATAATCCCTTCACAATTGTTCTTACACTAAACAAATTCATGTTGTGAGTAAAAGTGATGTTTGTGCCTATAACGGTTCTCTAACAATGAAACGTGGTACACTGATTTAACATGATGGGAGTTCATCGAAACATCATCCCATTGGCACTACATCATCCCCGTCTTGTCTCCTTGCTTTTTATGGCATCCCTATATTCCAAACTTTTTTATTTACTTGTCTCCTTTCCTCTTTTATGCATAAAAAGTAACATGTATTGCCTCAGACTCTTTGTCGTCGTTCACATGTTCCTTTCACCACCAAAGTGGCTGGCTGATAACTTGGTCATGAGGCTGATAACTTGGTCATGGGCTAACCACAAGCCTCACGTGCCTCGTAGGCGGGCACGTGCCACGCTCTACGGGACACTCCCACGGCATGCAGCATGATGGGGAGCATGGCTGCGAGCCACTTTCTGGCAGATAGGGGCGAGTCCACCCAAGGAGGTAGCCGGCAAGAGCCGGCTGCCATGCTCCCCAAGGAAGTAGGTAAAAGATCTATGGCATGCAAATGCACTACGCTATACTGTAAGGGTCGTATGGTGATATGATGGACATTATACATCTATAACAATATTGACATTGATACCACAACAATCTAGAGCAACGTTGGAGCCCTACTGGGTCGGCCGACAGTCTGTGGTGAGGCGGCTATGGGAGGCTAGCGCCACTGACGTGGCGACGTGGCGGCCAACTGTTCATGTGGTGTATTTATGTACTGAAAGAAGGCACCACTTTGCCACCGACCCAGCAGGTGAATGGTCGAGTCTTCTATCCCTGCAAGTGCAGCAGATGTTGCAGCGCCGATGCGGAAGCTGTGACCAGCATAGTTGTCCTCCGGTAGTTCGAGTGCCCTGAGAAGCTTCCTAATCTCTTCCACTAATGTCTGCTTAGTCAGCGGAGCCTTCTTTGTGGTCAGGCCTTGCCGATCTCCTTGAACGGCCACACATGCCAAGATGGCCGCGACTGGGCATAGGTCAAGCCCTGTTTTACCTAGGATCACATTTGCTCCACGGCCGAATTGATCAGTCTTGGATTGTTTCAGGTGGAGTCTCACCATCCGGGTGGCCTGTGGGTTATCAACTGCCATGTCCCCCCATGCTAGATGCAACCTGGGGTTGAACGCTGACTTGGACTGTAGCAGCAACTCTCCTAACCGGATAAACCCGAAAAAGGCGGTGCAGCAAACGGCCCAAAGTACCCGCCTCTCTGGGTGGGTCACCTGCTCCAGTGTGTGTTTGATCCGATGAAGAATTTGGGCCGTGATTTGGAGGCGGACTCTTGAGGGTTGTCCTCGTCCCAGGCGAGCTCGGGCAATGCCAGCCTGCACTCGCCTAAGAATCAGCAAGGTTGACTGCTCCCTTGGGTCCGGAAGGCCTAAGGATAACTGGGTATTCCTCACGGCCGCTAAGTACGACTTGACTGTCTGGCTCGAAAGCCCGCCGTCCGCCGACAAAGGAGGTGCTCCATGACCGGGAACGGATCTGCAATACTGTACTTTTCACAAAATGACCAGAATTTGAGTCATGAGCCCGACGCATGGAAGGGGCGAGGCCGTCTCGAAAATACCGTTGGATAGACGGAGCCAACCATGTGATGTCCAGTCCGTGGACGGGTCGACGAGTAGCTCCACCAGCTGTGGTGGGAGTGGAGTGGCATGCGTGTCGGTGTATGGCACCTTGGAGAGAAAGGAGAGAAGATTATCTCGCGATAAATCGTCAGCTAGATGATTATTATGTACTGTGGTGACAGGGAGAAATCATAAGTGGCCTCGACAAAAGCCAACATGCGGAGCATGTGCATGATGTGACTGGTACGCGACCGTAGGCAGGCAACCCCGGCTTGGTTGTCACAGTGCACAGTGACACAGTGGGTGCCCCACGTTGGCCCCCATATACCACATGCCAAGACGACCGGGAGCAATTTCTTGACCCTGATCGGAAGAAGGGCTGACTTTGTGTCCCATTGCAATTGGAAGCAGTGGCCGAGGTGCCATGCCCCGCAGCCCCATGACCCCGATGCGTCGGATGCCATCTGCAACCATGGCAGGTGGGAGGGGGGAGGGAGAAAAGAGACACCATTCCACTTCGAGACAAATGACCTCCACCATGTGAGATCAGAGCGGAACGACCTATTGAGTCTGAACGGGTGAGGTCGCAGAGGGTGGTGGCACACGCCTTTTAAATGCGGTGGAGGAAAGAACGACCGGACCGTACAACTTTGCAGGCGTGGTGTAAGATCCACACCAGGGATTCGAGCTCCCTCCGCTCACACACATTTTCCTGTCTCTCCAGTCCTCAAGGATGGACCGAAGGCCGCACAGCTTGTCCTGAGTTGGGAAACAACGGTATCTACCTCAATACCCAGGAACGCCAGGCACGTCGTAGGACCCTCCCGTTTGTGCTCGGCGAGTGGTACACTGAGGGTAGCACACGCCTCAAAAGAGTGTGGTGGAGCGACAATGACAGATAGTGGAAAACCTGACGGATCCCGCAGTTCCGCAGATGCCACTCCAAGCCATCGGCCAGTGCGTTGAAGATCTTAGGTGCGGAGCGGAGCCCGAACTGTAGCATGGGATCCGCATACAAGTGCCCCTTCCATTCCATCGCCTACAATGGGCGGTTCTGGGGATGGACGGGGATCTGTCGGTACGCCGACTCAATATCTATTTCGGCCAGGAGGGCGCTAGTGGTGTAACTGGCCGCTACCATTGCCACTTTGTTGACGGAGATGTATGACAATGAGCTGAGCTCTGGGCCGATGCCACTGTTCACACTCTGCCCCTGTGGGTGTGACAGGTCTGTGATTAACGCCACTTGTTATGACCTTTCGGGATCACACCGAAACGGTTGACGTGGAGAGCTGGCAGGATGTCTAGGTCGGTTGGTGTGGACCGCTCTTTATCGAGGTAGGCCTGTACCACCTCGGGGTGCTCGTGGGCCGAGAGCATATTCTGGTGACTGGATTGAAGGGGGCAGGAACGGTTGAAACTGATTCGAAAGCCATAGCTGATACCCCTAATGAGGTATCGGACGAAGGTTCGATCCGGATGCGAGGCCAAGGCAAGTTGCCAGGCCTGTTCATTCAACGGGGTCTGCACACCCGGGCGAGTGGGGCGCACAGCCTGGGATCTGAGCTGCGGCAGGAATCCAGGGCGAGAAGGTCTGCCGTATGTGGGTAGAGCCGTCTCCCGTCTGCATAGGGGAAGGGGTTGCATAGTCATGTTCCATCGCCCAACTAAGAATGTAAGATGCCATTCTGCCCGTTTGGGCTGTAAGCCATCCCTGCACTGGTTTACCATAGTGATGGACTACAAACAATGACTACAACCATACAACAGAACCCAATGCATGACAAAGTACATGTACAGGCGCTACCTACACTCCACAGAGCACGCCTGCGGTCTAGCTAATCTGGGAGTTAAGTTCGGGTAATTGGCCTAAGCCTGCTCCGACCGTGTACTATTCTGGGGTGGGAGAGAGGGGTGCAACTGTTGTTGTTGTTGGTTCCTCGAGGGAAGCCGGTTACACGCCGATGGCCCACGTCCAGTCGACGAGGACTGGCGGTGGGGGCAATTGAGGACGCCGTGGGAGCCCCCGCAGTCCGAACAAACATGGGAGAGACAACACCTGGTGAAACGGCAACGATTCGCATTGAAGTTGCGACGCACTTCCAGGGAACCTGGTGGGGGCTGTTGCTGAGGCAGGCGGCTGAGACGCCGGCACATTTTGAGCGGGGGCAGAACCTTGAAACCTTCCCAGTATTGGGGGGTTTGGGTTGTGGGGGCAGCCGGCTCCACTGTGGTCATCAGACAGGCAGTGGGGGCAACGTGGAATCGAGCGCGCCCGGCCTGTAGAGGCTTCATTATAAAGGTGGGTGTTGGGTACAGACCAGTTAAGATCCTTCTTAGCTAACATGGCACGGCGGAACTGCCTGTCGTACGCCACGCAGTTGGCCCCCTCGTAGTTGTGCGCGGCCACGAGAATTGTCGATTGGTAGGCCCAGAGTTCGGGGGCCTTCTCTGGAAAACGTGATACTAAAACAGCCGCCATTCTCACATAGCTCTCCAGCCAGGGCTTCATAGAGATGACGGGCGGCTTTGGAGTGCGCCGAACGGGCGTCGGTAGTGGAGTCGTCTGGCCAGATGTCACCCCGGAGCTCCGACATCTCCACAAATTCTAACGCCAGGATCTTCTTTACCACCTTTGGTGGCAGTTAGGCGGCCGGATTGTATGGGCCGTGGGTGTGAAGCGACCCGTGAGCATCGCTGAGCGGGTCTCCAGATTTCGGCAAGTGGACCCGTGTAAACGTGTAAACGTCGGCAGCGGCGGCAGACTAGCAGGATCTGGCTGATCCCTGAGTGCCTCACCGGAGTGGCCTGCAGGGGGAGGGGGTGGGGTAAACGGCAGCGGGCATAAGGCGAGCCCTGAACCATAGAGTTAACGGGCGGCCCGAACAGTCCCTGCACGTGCCGCAGAGTGCCTTGCGGCCATTGGCCACGCCCCCCCGTGTGCACGCGAACAGTTTTACTGGGAGAAATCACCCCTATTTTTTTCTTTGTTTTTTTGCTCAGCGCCCCAGTACCGTGTCCCACCCAAACTCACCGGAGGGTCCGGCACCGTCGGGTGGAAGCGACCGGTGATTCCTGGCACACGCAGTGTCTATTTCGGCGCCGAGAATCTCTCTGATTGCCGCGAGCTGCGCGGGCGTGAATGGGTCATCGCCACCTGTCGCCATAGCTGCAGCCGGAGGGACGAGATGGGGAGAAGATACGGGGGCAGGGGAGGAGGATAGTACGATGGTTGAGAGTAGACGGATGAGGAATCGAGTCTTGCAAATTGGCGCAGTGACAGCGCCGACTGGAAACATGCAATACTAACACCTTGCCACAATGACATGTCTCGTTAACCACGTTTAACATCCTGTTAAATTACATCTAACAGCACAACTATCCCCAAGACATTTCTTTTAAAAAAGAACTGCCCTTATTAAAACCTGTGACACTCTAGAGCACTCTACCAGCTCATTTACCATGTGGGTAGTAGTAAGTACAGACTAGAGTGCAGTATTGTACTACCTGCATCCTCAGCATTGGTCCACATCCTTAGGCACATATTTCTTGCTGTTTCGAAGCACTTTCATGTAATTCACCAAAGTGTAACGGCTTGGTTGACCTCGCTGTTGGCTAGTGTGACTATTTTGCAGAGTAGCCAATGTCACTCCCTTGATCGTTGAAACATTGGAAAGTTTAAGTGCCTATTGCCGCTATTTTGTTTATCTTTTATTTATGTGCTTAACAGTCTCTGTTGTTTCAGTTTCACTGTAAGTAATGAGTAATACAGACATCTTTATCACATATTATAGGTTGCAGCAGAAAGAGTCCTGGAACAGAGAAACTTTTCCCAGGCATTGAAACTGTTTGAATTATCACATGTATGTAAGCTGAGAAAAACTTTTGTCTTTATTATTACACTACTGACTTTGGCAGTGCCGTCCTCAGCATATCATTCAATCATTTGCAAGAATTAAAAAAGTTCCAGAACTTGTGAAGTACCTTCATCAGGTGAAACAGAATGACCATCATCATCTTATTAATAGTTCCTTCTTGTATTAGGCTGTATATGATGATACTGGGCATGCTGCTCTTGGAAACACAAAACAAGCTCAAGACATACTTTTTCAGTGTTTTCTACATGAGGTAAAAGCGTTTAGCTACGTACGTATATACCTATCCACTTCCTTGAGCCTTATGTAAGTTTTGCTGTTGTCATATTTCTTCATTGAAATATGTTAAGTAATCTGCCTGGATTTCCCTCTTGACAACAGCAAAACTTGGTAAAGAATAATAATTGTAGTTGCACACTTTTTGGTGTTGTGGTACACAATGCAATATTAAGTAGGTACTTGTTTTAAATTCATGGTTTCTTTTCAATACACTGTGACTGAATCAACCATAGCAATCGCTGTGGAGTTCTTACTTATACCGGCAGTCACATCATCATCAAGCCAAATATTATAAAGTGAAATAAGCTCAAAAGAATGCAGTGGTAGATTGACTATACCAGTAGGACAAGAGATGAGGTGAATAGGCAGTCAGTAGTGTGGGAAGTGTTTGGGAACTACATCCACCAATTAGTCCTGTTTCCTGTTCTGTCCTACAGTGGAGGAGTAGTTTCGAAGGTATAAATATTTGTGCAGTACCTTGTGAACAGTTTTTGTGAAGAACAAGTATTGCTATCACCACATGATTGATAGTCCAAAAGTGCTGCAGTTGGAATTTTGTGTTCTCTTTAGCCACATTTTAGTGGCATATGCCCCAGGAGTGATCAAGACAACCACTAAAACTATCATTAACATAGCCAACAGTTATATTGGTTCAATAGGCACATTGTTTTGTGATAGGACTTAAGTGAGGGGATTAACCATTTGATGTTCGCACATGTACTGTGCAAATAGAGCCCATCGGGGAAGTGAATAATCTCCCTTGTAGTATGCAAGCAAGATTTAGCCAGGAGATCACACATTCGTAAAAGCCACCTAAGTGTGGTAAGTACAGATATGTAGGGCTTTAATCTGTTCGCATTCTATTATCCTTTATTTTAGTGTCTGCGATTGTGTGGAACACCAGATGGCTGTATGATGCTGGATAAATTCAGGTAACTCTCACAGGGCAGAATTTGTGCTAATCAGTACAAGAGAAAGTAATATATCCAAGCATAGTGAGAAAATATGTGATTGCTACGTATGTTAACCACAAATTAGCTTTTCTACTTGTACAAAATGTGGCATATTTGCTGTTTTCAGTTGAGCCAAAGCGTGGGCATCATCACTATGTTTTACTCATTCATCGTGCTTGTAAGAAGCCAACTTTTGTTCTACAGTGTTCTTTGTCTGTGTTGTATTCTAACCTACAAACTCTTTTATTTTACAGTCAGTTTATCACAGACAAGTTTCTGTATGACCAATCAGTGGCTATGGAAGGTTTGTTGGATTGTGGCCTAAAGGAGCAACTGTTTGAGCTAGCCAAAGTAAGTACGTGTTGAGGGTGGTTAATCCATGATTGAATCAAAGATAGAGAAAAAAATATCGCTGTTGAGCCCTTGTTCCTTCAGTGTATTGTTTAACATAAAGTAATGTAATGCAGGAAAGTTTGATACGGGACAAAAACGTGTGTGCTGTCACACAGTCTATTCTCCTCGTGTCTACTCTGTTGATTGGGGCAGCTGCCTTATCGTTAACATCACATACCTTAACTGTGAAATGGATACTAATATTATTAGAAACAATGTTGCAGCCACCAAAGTGGTATAACAAACAAACACACAGAGCAAGTACTGAAGGGTAACCCCATAGTTTTGCTCTAGGCTGGCTCATCTTTTTTTGTATTTCACTGAGTTTAAAAATTTGGTTCTAATGTTGGTCACCTCATCATTTAGGCCTAAATTTAATACTCAATCTTGCCAGTTTATGTATGTATGTAATGTAAGGGCGGAGGTGCTGGCTTGGATACCTTTCTAATTTATTCTCACATTTCGCTTCTGATCTCATGCCTAGTACAATGAAAAAAATTGTCAAGAGTGTGTAGTCAAAAAGAGACGAAGAAAAGTAGGAAAACAATTCGCATCCTCTTGCTTCCCGGGCTGATTGAGCTGTGGGAGAGCTACAGATTGTAAGCACTGTCAATGAGCTCTTACCCAACGTATTCTGACTTCTAAGCTGGCAAGATCGTACATAGTTATGTATCATATGCCTAGTTCCACTGCTTAATACTGATACTCTTTCTCTATTACTCAGGCTCACAACAAGTTGCAGGAGGTGCTGGATACAATGGTAAAACGAGGCTGCATAGACCTTAGCCCCTCTGTTCAAGCTTCACTAGCTAGTAGGCAGTACATCTCCACTGTGTCTGAAGCTGCTGATGGTAGGTACATCATTTTGACACTTATTCCATGTTATGTGCATCTTCTTACTGTTGTGGATCATTAGACTAGTGTCTCAATATCACAGGGCACTACTTGTACCAAATGATGCCCTCAACTTTTGTCAGATTTCTTATCACAATGGTGAGATATTGTACTCTTGAGGGTGTTTTATCTCACTCTGAAATTTTGTACAGCCTGTCATCATTCCACAATATCTGAATCATATTTTGACCTTACTGCCTAATATGAACGTGTCAGCTCTCATTCGACTGGCTAATCTATTTGATCCCTCTCACTCTACAATTCAACCACTACTTATCAAGGCACACACTTCAAGACCCAGGTACGTACATTTTGATATGTTATCATGCCGTTTACATATAAATACAGTTGCGAACACAACCGCGTGTCTGTGTAAGCCTAATGTCACTGAAACATGGGAAGCAAAATGAAGGCAGGTGGTTGAATGACATGTGCCAAGGCTGCTGCCTGTAGTGTGCTAGTGTGTTGGATCATGCATCCATACAGAAAATTGGAGGAGGATTTGTGCATTGCATACTACTGCCTCGAAATACTATACCAGTGCCTCTGAGTATGAGGCACTTGCTGCAAGAATATTACAATCCAGGACAAGGAAAAGCCGAAATCATTAACCCTTGGCGCGCATGCGCAGCAAGGGTTATATTACTTGGTCTGTCTGTCCGTTTGTTACCACGTTTTCTGCCACCATGCGTAACAGAGTGGCCAAGAAGCAATGCAAACGGGTTCAGAGCTACATTAGCTTTATTTTTAAAATGGCGATTTTTGTAAAAGTACCGCGTTATAAAGTAATGGCATGAAAACCAAGTCAACAAGCCAATATGCAAATTAGCACAGGCTTACCTCGACTGCGTCTGCTCACTCTGTGTATCTTGAGCAAAATAAGTCGTAACGAAGGGCCTCCCGCATGCTATCTACTACTGTCGCTACCCCGTGTCAGACTCTCCGCGATCTACTAGCGGGAGACCACGAGTAAAACACGTACTAATAGCCCAGCCAATCAATTATCGGTACCGCACATGCGCAGTTGGCCGAGGATTTGCACTTTAGTAGGGTGGGAATAAACCCCATTACAATGTCTATTTTATGTATGTGTGCATTGATTGTTTTATCATAAATATGCGTAGGCATGTTGTGGCTTTTTTCATTGCTTGATGAAACAAAAGCTGGGTGCACAGTTGTATCCTGTGTACTTGCAGAAGTCATTCAACTGGAAGTCTTGTTAGTGTGGCCGACAGCCTCAGCAGTGGAATTGGTGCTGTTGATGACACAAACGCTCCTAAGCTGGATGAGTATATTGAAGTTTTTCTCACCATTCTCATAATTTTGAATGTACAGCGAGGAAGAAATCCTGCAACGAGACGGTAAGTACGTCTATTAACTTACACCTACCCCCGAAAATGATTTTAAACTCAAATGGACCGTTTTTAAACATGTGCCACCCGCTTAAAATGTCACCTGCACTCGTGATACTACTATTCCACATCAATACTGTTAGCTACGGCCATGTGTGTTGACAAAACTGCACCAGTCTTTAAGTGGCACTCTATGAATTTTGTCCCAGCCCACTTTTCTGTATTACTTCAAATTGCTGTTGGCAAATCATTTACCTTCCTCAGGAGGGGTATCTTTCCTGTGAATTCTGATAAAGGTGAAAATGAGGTATGTTTCAATTAAATGAACTACTAAACTGCAAACCATGGAGCGGTCTAGTAGCTTGCAAACTATGTATGCCCCGGTTCTCAAGGGTGGGTCCTGCCTCTCTCTTTCTGTTTATATGTTATTATCTGTGTTTTGTGTGCTTGGATGTTTAAGGGTTCTCTCTTTTCCTCTCATAATTATTAACCCTCGGCGCGCATGCGCAGCGAGGGTTACGGTACTTGTGTCTGTGTGTGTGTGTGTCTGTCTGTTACTCGTCATCTCACTTCTCGAGTGTTCGTTCGTCTCACAAAGGATACACCTACTGAACGGGCAATGAAGGTCAGAAATGTCGAACGGTTTTCTCTGAAAACTCTCCGTTGCAAAGCTAGAGGGGGAAAAAGCCAATATGCAAATACACAACGGCGTGATCGATCCGCGTGCTCTGCTTACCTCGGAGGCACCAGAAAATGCAACGCAGGGCGTGTATCGCCTCTTGCATGCTATCTAGTAGTGTAGTTAGCCCGCGTCAGACTCTGCGCGAGCTGGCAAGAGACCTCGAGTAACAGCTAAAACTAAACCCAGCCCATCAATTAGTGGTACGGCGCATGCGTTTACTTACGCACGCGTCACAGTGCGCCGAGGGTTTGCACTTCAGTACTTTAGCTAGTATGCTATAAACTTTTTTTTTCATGTGCAAAAAAGCACGACTAATTAACCCTCAGCGCACATGTTGGTCTGTGTGTCTCTCTGTTTGTCAGCAGCTGTTCTCCCACTACAGGCTATGACGAAGCGGTATATAAGCGATACAAACTGCTTCAGAACTATGAGAACCTGAATAACAAAATTGCGGATTTTCCTGAAATGACTGGGTTCAAGAGATATGCTGTAAAAACAAGCGAAAACGCCAATATACATAATCAGCACTGGCTTACCTTGACCAGGTGTTAGCCAATTCAGCACACCGCTGAGGGATGATATTCCTCAAGAGATGTGTATCTTGTCCAGCGTTGCTCTAAGCACTACTCGCCAGTACAGGAAGCGCAAGAAACTGGCTCTGACGGGGGTTAATACAGTGCCCTGTGTGAATGTGTATTATGCACATCAACGCAACACACGCACGTTGCTTGCACCAAGGGTCAGCACTTTAGTGCTTTTCATTGATGGAATGAGCAATGCCATTTCGCTCCTGATGTCATATGTACTAGTCTTTAAGCATGATGTTATATTATGCATGAAGTGAGCAAAGAAACAACTGTAATGAAGCACTGTGCATTTGTTTCAGTTGTACTCTGAGGCATCACAGTGGACCCAGGGAAGAGTCCTGGCATGCGGGCTAAATCATGCTGCACTGTTGGTCAATGGTGATCTGTATACATGGGGAGCTACTAAGAATGGAAAGTAAGTTTCCTAAAGTAGTTTTTCCTGGATATCATTGAATTGCACTTGCCTCACTTTTACACTGTTTCGTGTACATTTTGTAAGAGTTTAACACAGAAATTGGGCTAAAGATGCAAGTGTCCTTGAATTTTCGGTTTTGGAGATTTTACCTGGGGTCCTTGAAACACCAGGTTTTGCCCTGGATCTTAGACTAATCCACTTATGTCCACTTACCACCACACAATTAAGGATTGGCTGTCGCTAGACTAGAACTGTGCTAATGCTACACATGAATTTTGGGTTGGTAAAAACTGTACAGCATAAGATCGTGTGCTAGTGTAATTGTGCAATGCTAATTGTGCACTTTTAATTTACACTGACTCTATAATGCAGCTCCAGCTTGCGCCATTGCATGAATTGCCCTGCAAGTTTAAGTAAAATGCTTATTCCTTTCTTCTCCACATGAACATACCCAACTCCAAATTTAATGAAAAGCACTGAAGTGCAAACCCTCGGCGAACTGGGCATGCGCGGTACCGCTAATCGATGGGCTGGGCCTATTTACTCGTGATCTCCCGCTAGTAGCTTGCGGAGAGTGTGACACGGGCTAGCTACAGTAGTAGATAGCTTGCGGGAGTCGATACACGCCCTTCGTTGTGGCTTATTGTGCCTCTGAGGTACACAGAGCAAGCGGATCAGGTCGGGGTAAGCCAGTGCTAATTATCATATTGGCTTGTTCACTTGGTTTTCACGCCATAACTTCTGAATGCGGCACTTTTACGAAAATCGCAATAAAGCCAGTGTAGCGCTGAACCCGCTGGTGTCGGTATTTTACCTGTTTGTTGCGCGTGGTGGCAGAAATCGTGGTAACAGACAGACAGACAGACCAAGTACTGCAACCCTGGGTGCGCATGCGCGCCGCCGAGGGTTAATGAAAAGCACTGAAGTGCAAACCCTTGGCGAACTGCGCATGCGCGCTACCGCTAATGGATGGGCTGGGCTATTAGCGTTTACTCGCGGTCTTTCGCTAGTAGCTCGCAGGGAGTCTGACACGGGCTAGCTACGGTAGTAGATAGCATGCTGGAGTCGATACACACCCTTCGCTGTGGCTTCTTGTGCCTCCAAGGTACACAGAGCAAGTGGATCAGGTCGAGGTGAGCCACCATACTGCGTTTGGTCGCCTCTAATACACGCATGCGCACCGCTTATTGATGGGTTTGGTCACGCAACGCTGTCCGCCAGTTTGTCGCTCTCGAACGCAGTCAGCAAAATCACCATTTAATTTTTTTAGCCCATGTACCGCTAAAGCTGTTGGTATCGCTCATAAGCGGTCTCGTAGCCTGTAGTGCGAGAATAGTCGTAGACAGACAGACAGACACAGAACGACTACCGTAACCCTCGCTGCGCATGCACGGCGAGGGTTAATGAATCATGCACGGCGAGGGTTAATGAATCAACCGAGTAAATTTAGCAGCATAACTAGAAGGAGGAAAACGCGTATCACATAGAGAAAAAGTAAAGTGAAAGTCACATCACACGTCCGAACCTCTCAGCTACAAAATAACGTAACCATAGTGCTGTTCCAAGTACAATTATAATGATTTAATGAAAAGTGGGTGTGCCTCCGTGTACGTAATATCACACGTGCAATCGCGCAAGCACACTATACTTTTACACCTTATTTTTTACTACAAGGTCAACCATTAGAGTGTCGGTAGACATTATGTAGGGATGGCATGGGTCAAATCTCACCGCAAGAATGACTCACTATGCCTTCAAAATATGCTAGCAAAAGTGTAAGAGCCTGTATCTAGCTATACATGTTCCTCTTCTTAATTGATCGTGTTGCTTTGTCAACAGAAAGCATAAATATTAGTTTAGAGGACGTTTTCAGTGTTGAAAACTATATCTGTGTCTGCTATGTGTTTTCACTTCAATTTATTGATACCTCTCAATAAAGAAAACCTCTGAATAATGAAAAGAAATTGCTCTCCCAGTATTTTCATTATTAGGAGGTCCCACTGTATATACAGTGTTGATTTGGCCACTCTGCCATTAAGTACATTGGGTATACGTATTCCAGTTGCTCATATATTACTATCCTTGCACGTGTATTGCTATTTTGCTATGTAAATGTGTTTACAAGCCTATGTGCTCTGCATCACATGCACACCTGACTTCTCACCAGCAAGGTATAAATTCAGGCAATTTGCTTCAGGCAATTTACATAATATAATCAAAAGCACTGAAGTGCAAACCCTTGGCGCACTGTGACGCGCACGCGTAAGTAAACGCATGCGCCGTACCACTAATTGATGGGCTCTCGTGGTCTCTTGGCAGCTCGCGCAGAGTCTGACGCAGGGTAACTACACTACTAGATAGCATGTGAGAGGCGATACACGCCCTGCATTGCATCTTCTGGTGCTTCCGACGTACGCAAAGCACGCGGATTGATCAGACGCTGGTAAGCCATCCCGTCTGTTGTGTATTATTTGCATATTAGCTTTTCGCGCTGCAACGGAGCAGTTTCAGAGAAAACCGCACATATCTTCTGACCTTCATTGCCCGTTAAGTAGGTCGTATCCTTTGTGAGATGAAAGAACACCCATGAAGCGAGATGTAGAGTAACAGACACACGCATATACACAGACAGACCCAACTACCGTACCCTCGCTGCTCATGCGCGCCGAGGGTAATTAGACAAAAACAACAAAGACTACATTTGGCTCCTTTCCCTATAAATTTTGGGACCACGCAGATATCCTTGTGTACACAACCTCTTAGGATTTGAACTTTCTCACTTGATGATTACTTGCCTCCAAATGCTTATGTATTGCACACTTTCCTCTTCAGGTTGGGACATGGAGACATTGAAGAAGAGCAAAGGTCAATACCCCTGCGAGTGGAAACTTTTCTAATGCTAAAGTAAATCCTTGATATACAAAGAAGTATATAGTTTAATGGAGCACACATGCACATGGGATACCCAGTGTGAGACAGCAGCCTACTGTTAATGTCTCCAAGTCATTCAGTATGCCAGAGTTTTGTGCCACCAGAGCTTCCAAAGCGGTGAACTTCCCAATTTGATATCACTTACTGAAAGGCTTCCCAGACTGTGACAGCTTGAGCCATTAATTCTATTTAAGGGACCAGAACCTGCCTTAGGACTTGCATCAATTTTTACAGGGGAGTGTGTTGGGTTGCTATAGGCAACACAGGGTGGAAAGCCTGGCTTAAAGGCTGGTTCACAATATGATTCTTTGTCCTGCGTATCGTTGTGATGAGTGCATGCGTCATATTGTGAATGGAAGTCACGAGTAGCGCATCAACATCACGCTGCTCAACGCTCGTAATTGCACAGATAGAAAAGTTTCTATTGCTGCGGCAAGACATGTATCAAAATCAAGTCACGTGTTTCCTGACAGTGCAAACCGATGAGAAATTTGTGGATGCTTGTGGAATACGAATGAAAGAAGCTACAAAAGACCAGAGGGCTAGAGAGAATGTGTGGAAGGAAGTTGCTAACCTTGTGTGTATGATAAAACTTCATTTCTAGGTAGCAAACAGCACTACCTTTGTAGTTGAAAAAACCGAAACCTGAATCAGCTGGTGTTTGGATGAAGATATGTTTCCCGTTTACAGCACCAACACCATTTGGAAAATTACAATTTGCTTCAAATTGATCACTCATTGCCTTTCATTCATGCCGAGAAGATAGTACATTTACATAGGATGGCTTGAATGCTTCCCAAATTGCTTTGCTTGTCTCTGATAATGCAACACACTGTTAATCTACAAACATAAAAATTGAAAAGGAGAGCCAACAACAAAATCATCTCATAGTCCTGGTCGCCATGATGTCCGGGGCCCACACGTAAATTATGAACTCCACGCCATGGGCAATTTTGTCATTTAGCACGCGTTTAGCACGATGCTCTTGCACAATGCGTACTAGAGTGTCGTACTGTGAACTGGCCTTAAGGCTCACTCAGCGTGATGGCCTTGTTGGTACAACCAGTCATAGGGATCACGTTGCACATCATTCCTCATTCACTCTTTCTGACCCTCGCTCCTTTATAAAGTCAGAGGGCCATTGAGTATTAGTTTTGCAAGAGTCCAATATACATAAGCTTCTGTGTGACTGTATTCTTCCACGGCTAATCTGTGAGTTTCTCAAGCTCACTCCAGTGAACTAAGCGGCTTCTTTCTGAGCCTAGGGTTGACACTTCATATTCCAGGTTCTCTCTCTGTTTTTCTGAACTTAACGAACAGCTTAATTTTAGATGTACTTTTTTCTTTCTCTTCAGTGTACATGTGCTGTCAGTGACATGTGGTGCAGAACATACCATTGCTTTGTGCCAAGAGGGGGTTAGCTACTACTTACTTTCTGTGTGCCTGTTTATACGAAACTCTTTTTACGTAGGTCTATTCTTGGGGCTCATCTTCTCATGGCCAGGTATGATTTACACCACATAAAAGGAGCATATTGAGCCCACGAAACGGGCGAGGGAGCATGTAACTTCTCTTTTTGCTTATAAAATATTGAAACACAAACATAGCGGACAGATTTAGTTTCCTTATTTGAAGAAACTGTCATTTTATCCCTAGCCAAAGAACTGGCTTATAGTTGTGTTTTAGCTACCTTCTCAACTCTACTAGACTTGGAATGATGGCAGTGTGCATGATATGGGAGAAGACCAAGTACCATGGCAGTGAAACTGCTGTTAAGTGCAGTCTGAGGCTATCTTGTATAGTACTAAATTTAGGTACTGTCCACATGTTTTGAATGCTCCCTTGCCCTCTTCGCGAACTCGATATGCTCCTAACATACTTAATTCATTAATTCACTTCTCATACTCCTCTTAGCTGGGGCATGGAGACACACTGAAGCGCTCGCGACCTGTCCAGATCTCAACTCTTGCTGACAAAGGCATCATAGCTGTTGAGTGTGGCCAATATCATTCCTTGGCACTCTCTGATGACCACAGGTGCTCATCCCCTTGACTCCTTTTACTGTAATGATAAAAGGACTACGGACACTCATCCCCTTGACTCCTTTTTCTGTAATAATAAAAGGACTACGGACACTGTAGTGGTATTGCTACACATAAACTACAATTATTAGTCTAAGCACACTGACACATTACCAGAAATGTTGCAACCACGCATGTGCACAAGTTCGGCTATGAGATATGTACAATGGACTTATGTGCCCACATGTGTCAAGATTGTTAGAGCAAAAGGGCAAAAAAGCTAACTAGTTAAAACTACAGAGAGGTCTACATGAGGTACACCAGGCTATAGGCTAGCTACAGTTACAGACACTTGTGTAGGGACTACAATGTAAATGAAAGCAATAAAATGCAAACCCTCGGTGCACTATAAAAAATTGAACACCTATACGCATGAGTGGTACCGCTGATTGATGGGCTGGGCTATGCGTTGTCTCATGATATCCCTCGTGGAGAGTTACATGGGCTAGCTGTACATCACAAGATAGCATGCAGGACTTGGTATATGCCCTCCGTTGAGCCTTCTTGTGCCTCCTAGCAAGCAAATCAGGCCAAGTGATAATTTGCATGTTGGCTTGTTCACTTGCTTTTCACGCCATAACCGAATGCAGTACTTTTAAAACGAAAATCACACCATTTTAATATCAAGCCAGTGTAGGAATGAACCTGTTCTTAGGCCTATTTTGTTGTCTTGTTGCGCGTGGTGGCAACACAGACTGATGGAAGGACAGACATACTCACAAACCAAGTACTTTAACCCTTGCTGTGCATGGAGGATTCTTGCTGTGAAGTGTTAGTACAATATAGTATGCTTGCTCCCATTGCAAAACACTTGTGGCTTTCCAACTCTATGCATTTTCTGTAACCTGTCTGGATAACTGCATGCTTATACTATTAGTGTGTGGAGCTGGGGCTGGGGAGTTCATGGCCAGCTGGGTCTCCAGAGTGTCGACGAGAAGCTTCTACCAACCCATGCAACTCTGCTGGATGAACGGAATGTGTCAGTGATATCTGCAGGATATGGCCATAGCGCAGTACTAACTGTTGATGTGAGAACATTTTGCAGTACATATTAAATCTCGTGTTATTATGTATCACATAAATATTTGCTGCCGCTGATTTATGGACTGCCAGGGGAAAGTGCTCACATTTGGAAATGGTGATCAATATTCTGCATACCATATACCTGTGAAATATAATATGTGTGTACTATTTCTACTGCAGGGATGTATGGACAGCTAGGTCATGGTAATACCGAAAAACAGTCAGCCCCAAAACTTGTAACAGCACTCCAGGGACAAGCGGTGTATCTATTGGCTTGTGGCAATTTTCATACTGTGAGTATACTCGGCAAGCCATCCTGTGCCATAAAGGCGTACTGGTCATCTTTTAACCACTTGAAACTATGACTCATGCCTGGTGTGATGTTCTGCTAATATTATTGATGCCAAATGTCTATTTCATAGATTGCTGTTACAAATGACCAGCAAGTGTATTTTTGGGGGAAGAATCTCTATCGAACTGTAAGTAATAACTTTCCACAAAGTGTAAGGGCTTCCAGTCTTGTGCCCATACCCTGCCCTCCTAGGGTTTGTTGACAGCTGAGCAACTTATTAGCTGTGCTGAAGTCTTAGCTTTCAGTATGCCAACCAATGACAAAGTACACCACGAGTTTCGTGTACAATGCATATAACAAGCTGTTGCAGTTGTGTAACTAAGCTGTTGATTAACCACAACAAAGAAAGCTCTAAAAACCAATTAACCCTTTAGGGAACTGGGCCTTGGTAGGAAACTAGGAAGCCACTATTTTAACACATGCTATTAGTGTTTGTGAGAGACATATTTGTTTGTCTGTGTCTCTGTGTTTAGTCTTGAGTCTCTGAATTTGTATGTAGAGGCCAAGTGCAACCAGTATCCAAGGGCTAAAAGAGTACAAGAGAACCCGCCAGGCCCAGTCTGCCTCCCCTCCTGCTACTGCTACAAACACACACACCCCTCTACCCCTTCTCAACCAGCAATTGGGCGATTCCATAGTTCAGGTGATGTGTGAATGTACTTGACCTCTGCCTGTCTATCTAATCATCACATGCGATGAGCCCTGTAGGTGTTTCAATGTGTATCCTGTAACTTGCTCTGTCATAAACTTACTGAAACTTATATTTCTGCCATTTTGCAGATAAGTTGTGGTAGTTTCCACTCCTTGCTGCTGACAGCTGATGGAGGTGTATATTCATGGGGTAGCAATGTACATGGGCAGCTGGGTCATCCACAGGTTCCTGAGATGGTACTGAATTACAATATTATGTACACACACAATATTATTATGCATATCAGTGGAATGTACAATATCAATGGTCTGGTGTTTTTCAGCAAAACCCATCAAAAGTGGGTCAGTTTGACAACCGAAAAATAGTTGCAGTTGGTGCTGGAGACGAGTTCTCTTTAGCTGTTGATGAAAGTTTCCAACCATGGGGATGGGGCCGGGCTGAGCATGGACAGGTATGGCAGAGCACACATCATCTATGCAATTAACATTATAATACTTACCATAAATTTACAGCTTGGCTTTGAGTCCAGAATTTCAAGAGGAGGAGCAGAGTCAGTGAAACAATCTGTCTTCAAACCTACCATCATTGATAGTCTTTCAGAGCTCCCTGATCATTCCAGGCCTCAAAGACATCAAGATGTAAGGTGTCCTGGTTAGCCTAGTGTTTAAGTTTGCCTCAGCAGTGATCTGCATAATTCGGAATTAGCAGCAATCATAATATACAACTGTGTGCTATCTATAGCTTGATTAAACTGACGGGACTATTAGTGAAAGGCATAAGACAATTGTGCCTAGTTATGTACAGTGCAATCATGGTGGTAATACCAGCAATGTGCATTGTTACACGTGTAGCGTCCGAGGTCTTCGCTGAAGGTGGTCGTAGCGCGCGCTCTCGGCCTCTATCGGTGCTTGGCGCAACGGTCCTTACTGATGAATACAGTGATCGGGGAGAGAGCTCCCAACTGACCAGGACATACGACTTTTATACATAGTCTCACACAACTGCGCATGCACACAAAAGATGTTCTAGAATGTTCTGCCGTCACATCTCCCCCTGCTGTAGCAAGTCGCCCACGACGTCTTTGTGTTGTGAAGATCTCAGCAACTATCTTCTGACCTTCCCCCGGGAAATATGTTTCCTGATCCAACATCACTGTCCGTCTTCTCTGGGGAGACTGTTGAGCAGGTACCGAGTCCAAATCTTTGTCACACTGTGTCTTAGGACGGCCGCCTCTTTGATTATAGCTGTCAGTACTACCGTCACCTAACTGATGGATAATCAAGTGTCCTACTTTAAAAGGAGGGTTTCTTGATGAATTTGTGGTATAGCAGGGGTATCGTTTTCGTTCTCGCAAGCGCCCGGCCCATTTGTTCCCACTCGGGATCCCAGAGGGGCCTGGTGGTTGCTTCTCTTTTGGTGCACTTCTCACACTGTCCTTGGTCCCTCCAGCATCACCAATATGCACTGAAGAAGATGTGCCTTGGTCCTCATCAAGAATCTTGGTCGATGCACAACTACTGTTACCGGCAGAATTCAGTAATTTAGGAGCCTCTGTAGGTACATCTTGGTTAACTCCTTCGATGGAGTGAGTAGTCAGTTCCAAATCTGGCATGGTTCCCTCTATTCCCACTTCTTGCGGTGTACTTAACACTGTCTCTGTCTTCTCCCTTTCAGACTGAGCTGAAGGACCTCCTGCATCCTTAATCTTCTTGGCTGGGCGTTTGCTCGGAGGCAAAAACTCTGGACCAAGCTGCTCGGGGACAGCGTCGCAGCCTGTCTATGGCCACTAACAAGGGCTCTTGCTCTGGTCTGTCAACACGAAATATAGTGGCGGTGTTGTTATCCATTTCTGAGATTCGGTATGGTCCATGGAAGGGCCGGGCCAGCTTTCTGGCCTCTCCAGTCTTCTCTGCCGGCTTGTAAAGAAAGACCCTCTCTCCGGATCTGAAAGGCACGTCAGTTGCCTTTTTGTCGTAATTGGCTTTCTGGTGCCTCTGGGCTTGTCCAATGAACTTTCGCGCCAACTCCCAGGCATTAGCCATCTTGGTATAGAGTTCGACACCATATTCATGGAGATCCATAGTGACCCTTGTCTGCTGATGACTTAAAACTTCGGGGACGGGCAATCGAGGGTCGCGCCCATACAGCAAATAGAATGGGGATTCCCGAGTGGAAGCTTGTTGACTTGCCCGGTAGGCGAATAAAACATGGCAGTTGTTCATCCCACTCGGCTCCTCCCTTTTCGACGGTTTTAGCTAACATGGACGTCAGGGTCCTATTGTATCGTTCCACCAATCCGTCTGTCTGTGGGTGGTAGGCTGTGGTATTCAGCTTATGGTAGCCCATCAGTGTCTCAACTTCCTTCATCAACCCAGAGAGAAAGGCTCTTCCACGGTCTGACAGAATCTCACTGGGTACCCCATGTCGGCTAACCACCTATTCAACCAAAAGCTTAGCAATAGTCGCTGACGATTGGTCGGCTACGGCAAACACCTCTGGCCACTTTGTCAAATAATCAACGAATATTACTGCATAGCGGTTGCTGCGACGGGTTTTGGGTAGCTGTAGTATGTCCACACCAACACGGTCGAAGGCCTCACCCACAGGGATCGGGGTGAGCGGCGGTTTCACGTTTAATCCAACACAGGTCATGCTCTGGTCCACTGAGTGACATCTTTCCTCATACCGGGCCACCAGTAATGTCTTCGGAGTACATCACTCAAATGGGCACTGAAACGTCCTCTGTGAACCTCGGCTAGGAGTTGTTGTCGGAGTGACTGAGGGGGAACAATTCGGAGGGTGGCATCTGGTTCTACTCGGTACAGAACCGCCTCCAGGAGGGCGTACTGGGAGCTGGTGAGAGCTATCTTCTGGGCTAATTTATCTTCTTCAGGGAGATCTCCAGTTTGTAGGAACTGGATGATTGGGGCCAACTCATCATCCTGGCGTTGGAGTATGGAAAGGCTGCTGCCAACTGTTCCTGTAGCAGTAGTCCCTTCCCCTCCAGTGATAACCGCTACCACTTCTGCAGCTGGGTGCTCATCCGTAAAGTTGGGAAGTGGACAGCGAGACAGGGCATCCGCATTAGAATTGTGACGACCAGAGCGGTGGACGATGGTAAGTCCAACTCCTGCAGGCCATCCCCATCGGGCTAGTTTCCCTGATGGTTGCGGCGTGTTCAACAGGGATTTCAATGCCTCGTGATCTGTATAAACTGCACAATTGTGTCGATAGAGGTAAGGTCTGAAGTTCTTTACTGCCCAAACCACTCCAAGACCTTCTAGCTCAGTGATTCCGTAATTTTTCTCTGTTTCTGTAATGAGCGACTAGCATACGCGACCGGGTGTACTGATCCGTCCGACCACTCCTGTGCTAACACAGCACCGAGTCCAGCCCCAGAGGCATCGGTCTCCAGTATGAATGGACGAGAGAAGTCTGGAAAACACAAACCGTCGTGGTCTGGAGAAGCTCCTTCAGTCGGTCAAATGCTTGCTGGCATTGCGGGGTCCAAATGAAAAGGACATCCTTTTTGGTCAGGGCATACAATGTGCTGGCTACCTTTGAGAACCCTGGAACGAAACGGTGATAATACGAAGTCAGACCGAGGAAAGAACGTAGAGTCTTTAAGTCAGTGGGTGTTGGGTACTGAGCTACAGCTTGGACCTTCTTTGGGTTAGTTTGAATTCCTGAGGTACTCCACAGATAGCTGAGCGATCCGGAATTTCTTTGGTTTCAGTCTTAGCCCTGCAGTGCGGATCCGGCGTAGCACCTGCCCAAGATGGCGGTTGTGCTCCTCCAGAGTTCTTCCAAACACTAACACATCATCGAGGTAGACATGACATACCCCAGTAGTCCAGTTAGTACGGCTTCCATTAACCTTTGAAAAGTTGCCGGTGCATTTACTAAACCGAAGGGCATCCTCTTGAACTCATAGAATCCTCAGTGGGTGCTGAATGCAGTTTTTTCTTGTGAGTACTTCTCCATTGGCACTGCCAATAACCCGAGGCCAAATCAAGGGTGGTAAAGTAGGCCGCCCCGGACAGCAAGTCGAGAGTATCGTCGATTCTTGGAAGAGGGAACTAGTCCAGTTTTGTGACACTGTTCAATTTACGATAGTCCACACAAAATCGCATTCCTCCATCTTTCTTCCACACGAGTACCACGGGCTCGCCCATGGGCTTGCGGAGGGTACGATGATGTCTTGCGAGAGCATCTCTCCAACCATCTGCTCTACTTGGTCTCTCAGCAAATGGCATTCTTCGTGCAGGCTGTCGGATTGGTGCGTGATCCCCCGTATTGATTCTGTGCTCAGCGAGGTCAGTGGTACCGAGGTCGCTCGCGTCCAAGGCAAAAACATCCACATAACTGAGCAGACACTCCTCTATTTTGGCACGTTGTCCTGATGTCAGGTGATCTAGTTTAGGATTGAGCTGCTACAGTAGTTTTGCTCTTCGATCGGGTTTTGCCTCTGAGGTTAGCTGGCTCACTAAACTCCCAGTAGGACGAACAACTTCTCTTACTTCTTCCGCTGGAGACACTGTCCCTAGCTCCGTGCCAGCTCTGAGGTACCTTGAGGTGGTACCAGAGTTTTCAACAATTAACATCGCACAGAGTTCATCCCACCCTCAATGGCAGCATCCGCTAGTGAGAGACTGTCATGGCTGTAAGTCGGGGTGAACAGGAGAAGTGTAGAGTCAGGTTTTCCACAGATTTTGGTATGCACCATCTTTCTGTGTCCTGCTGGAATCTTAGTGGCTGTGAGAAGGTAAACAACTCCTTCAGGGTTGTCATGACCTTGGTCATCTTGTGTGTCTGGGTAGAATGGCTGCAGTAGTGGCTCTGAGGTGTGTTCTCCAGTTTTTGCACTGATGTCTTGGGAGTTTTTTGCGTTGGTTCTTGTCGTTGGTCCTGCTGCTCTGGGTTCAGCGAAGTTATTTCCCCCTGCTGAGATGACAGTCGGGGCTGCCATTGTACTGTCAAGGGGATTTCTTCCCCCTGCTGAGCATGTTACTCGGGCTGTCTCCTCAGAGCAGACATCAGGGGCTGTCGCCAACATCAACCAATGTGGCGTCATGGAACTAACCATGGGAGAACTTGTAGCAGAGGCATCCTGCCTCATTGGCTGACTTGGCCCATGGTCTACTTCTTCTTCCACAGGCAAGATGTGCAATAAATTCTGTGGTTGTGGGTTCTCCCAGATTGCCCCCTCCAGAGTCTGTATGCTCCTTGTCTCTTCGTCACAGAAGGGAGGTCCTGTGGTGGATTGGTCTTTATTCTTAGGCTGATGTTCCTCTCCTGTCAGCAGGTCAACTAACTTTTCGGGTGTTTCCATGACCAGTCGGAAATCTGTCCCAAGTAGCAGGTCGTTTGGAGCTCCTGGCTGGACGAGTACAACACATCCACTGTTTGGCCACCAGCGACAGTCGTAGACAATCTGACAGAGTATGTTGAGTCGGTGCCCACCATACGCCCTAAGAGACACTTTAGGCATAGAGAACTTGCGGATTGTCTTTCTCCCAGTGGGAATGAAATTGTTGAGATCCTACTTCTGAGGTCAGGATTTTCATGACATGATCCAATGAGATGATGGTAGCAGGAGATCAGTGTCTACAAGTGCTCTGGTGGGCATTCCATTCACCCTGACTTCAGTACATATGGCAGGTCCTAGAGTCTTGTCTCCTTTCCTCTGACAGTCGGTCGGGAC